AAAACTACATATATAGAAGGAAGAGAAAGATTTGAAGAAATGTGCAAGACAGTAAAAATTTGAACCAGCATATATAATGAAAGCTGCGCAGTGGTTATAAGAAGAGCATCTGTCCCGTATTGTCTTCCATCCGCAAACCCCAATAAATGAGCACGTGTTGGTTTTATATCGTTTTTATATATATTTTTACCAAGTATTTGCTGTGGGTCGCGTGTCTGGGAACTTTCAAAAAACTAGGTACTCACAATAGATATCAATGTTAAAACTCCTTTTCATTATATAATTGATTATATTGCCCTCTTCATATTTCCATTATGGATATTATATATTTAACTTCCCTTTAATTAAATCGTAAAAGCCTACTTAAATTTGTTTCTAAAACAAAAGAATAAATAGAAATTTTTAATAAATATTTTTCCTTTTTAGAAAAAAATAAATTAATCCAGTTTAAAATTCATGCCATATGGTCTTGAATATTAAAAATTAATATTAATGTACTTATGGCGAGGTTAGATTATCATTGTCATCGCTATGATTATATTTTTATTTAAAATGTCAAGGCACGCAGAGCTTCTATAATATACAGTTATGGCTAATTAACCAATTAATTGATGAGCCTAAGAGCGGAGGTTTAGAGATGGAAAAACCGTTATGCGAAGAATCATCGACCCGGAACAATGTAGTCTATCTTTTTTTTGTGACTTCTCCCCCTTATACCTTTCGCTGGAAAATCGGTTGGGGGTGTTCGCCACATGGCACGCGAGCTCGTGAGTAGTCAACAAACAAAACCAATTTGAACCTTCATTCTAAACGTTCGCACTTCTATTCATCTAGAATTCATCCTTCATTTTTGTGAATTAAACACAAAAAGAAAATATATAAATTCTCCTCAAGTCGAACATTGACCCAATCCAATTCACACTTTTTTTTTTATCTTAACAAATGGAATTCTGTTATAATTCCTGACATCAAAAGAATCGCCCGCTATATTTTTTCTCCTAACTATATATGGGTTTCTTTTCCGAAAACTTTAAAAATGCCGCAGTGATTTTTTTTAAATAAACTGAATTTTTTTTAACGAGAGCTTTATATTGTAGATATAATAAATGATTAGTAATTATTAAAAATGATTTCAATTTGTATTAATAATTTAAATTTTTACACTAAAAAAAAAAAAGAAAAATTTCTTTGATTCAAATAATTGGTTACTTGACGCAAATAAATATTTAATAGAACCAAATAATTTTTGAAACCAAACAATTGAATTCAATAAACTGTATTTGAACCAATTCAATTGGAATTCAATAATTTCCAAAATTTCTTTGATTCAAATAATTGGTTATACTTGACGCAAATAAATATTTAACAGAACCAAATAATTTTTGAAACCAAACAATTAAATTCAATAAACTGTATTTGAACCAATAATTTCTGTATTTGAAACAAATACCTTAAATAATAATTATTTGACACAAGTAAATATTTATTTGATAGTCAACTAACTGATTATTTGAATCAAATAAATTTTTCATTTCAGTGTACTATAATTGAAATTATTTTCAATTTCTATAGAAAATTGGAAGTTTTTATGTATACATATCTATCGGAGAAAAAATTCCCAAGCGCCGAGAATTGAACGCACGACCCTAACATTCACAAGTCAAGATCATAACCGCGGAACCATGGACGCACGCTTTTAATTTAATTTCAATTTACATACGTTCCTGCATTTTTTTTTACTGTAAGTAATTAAAATTTACTGAAAATTACTGCCAAATTTATTAATACATAAAAATGTAAATTATGAAAAAAAAAATGATGAGGTTCAAAAAAAAAAAAATGATAGAAATTTGAAAATCTGAAAACTGCGAACCCATCTGACGTGCGAGGAACAAAAGGATGATGAGAGACGAGAGGAGGAAAGTAGGGAGATTTAGTGATTAGCAATTAACTTCGACCCTATAGTGGAGGCTGATGTCTGGCTCATATATATATATATATATATATATATATATATATACTGTAAACTGTTCAGCAGCCTCTTACTAGCCCACCCCGATTTCCGTTCATCGGAAACGTCATGTGGTACATTAATTGGACCGGCATTATGGAATAAAGAAGATTCATTCTCGTCAGTCTGGGGAGCGTGCGAACTGCGTTGTCCTATCAGACTAGAAATTACTATGACCCCCATCGAGAGCACTCGAAAAGCGATAGCCCTTCAAAATCATCATTAACATTGTACCAAAAAAAAAGACGAATCAAAATTTAAAATCATATATACTGTCAATTTTTTAATTTATTCAATTTTTACTATTTATTTCCAATATTTATTTAATTATTATTAATAATTAATAATAATTTATTTATTAATTAACAATAATAATTAATAATTATTAGTAATTATTAATTAATTAAATTTTTAATTATATTTTAAAAAATATTTTCGCAAGTTATTAATAAAGAATCGATTTATATATATATATATATATATATATATATATATATATATATATATATATATATATATATATAGTACCGTTTTTGTGAAATCATTAAATTATTTTAACAGTGGCAATTATTAGAAGTGAATTTTTTTTTCTTTTTTGGTTTGGTTAATAATCTGTGGAACTGTTTAGTATGCGAGATTTGTTTCGCGGATTGAAATTCAATGTTCCTGTTAACCGGCAGTTCGGCATTCCACCTCCTTTTAAATTAAGGATTGCGGCAGGTTTGACAAATGAATGCTGTGTCGACATCTTCCCAAATAAGTCCTAGTGGAAGCTTTCTCTTTGTTCATTTTCTTTTGAATCAAAGATAAAAAGGAGAAAGGTGGGGGGTTGAGATAAATGTTTGCCAATATAAATTTTTAACACAAAAATCAATATTAAATTAATTTTAATAATTTATAAATTATAAATTTAATATTTAAATATTAGTTTTTTTTTAATTTAAAAATTTGTCATCGAAATTCCCCCCTGAAAAAAACACGAAGCGTCGTGACATTAGTTATTAATGAACAAAATTGTCGGTATTGTAGAAATTTTTTTTTTTTTAAATAAATTTAGAAGAAAAATAGTTGTGGCATTTAGTTTAGACCTCAAATAAGCGACTAAAATCATGAAAATATCATTGAGAAAAAATGGCGAATTTATATTTTTAACGAAAATATAACATTCTCCATTTTGCTCAAGTAGTAAAAAAAATAATTATTATTACTGGGGCAAAATGTAGAATAATTATAATAATTAAATACAACAATCTATGGTTGAGCGAGTATAAAAAAAAGTGATATATAAGATCAGAAGACAGTGAAGAACGACACTTTTCTTCTTGGAATCTGTCACAAGTGCTCCAGATTCCGGGGAGGAGGACACAGAAGGCAAAATGGGAGAAAGTCGCAATGATGATGAGTATAAGAGGTGACGATCGAAAAGTAAGGATAGTGCTCTTGAAACACGACGGTGACAAATTAAAATGGATCCCAGAGAAGGAGATGATGGTGAACGGTTTTTGAAATGACAGGCAGGTGGGCCATTTTGTGAGTTATGTATTCCACGCCGCATGAGTATTATAACGATTCGCAATGACACAAAACATGAAGTTTAATAGATGTTTTATTAATGAGTGCTTCGGTTTTCGTGTCGAACGTGCCGCGCTTTTGATATCAACATGATGCGACAAACGCGCTTACTCTTTTATATATTTATATATATAAAAAAAAGAAAGAAGCCAATGCTTTATAAAGACCCGCACGACGAACGATCTCGAAATGTTCAGATTTGCGCAAAACTGATCAAGATTTATGTGCCGATATATAGCTCTCTCACAAAAGTCTTTTGAAGGAAAACGGGACCTTGTTTTCGATCAAATGACAAGTATACGAGTTGTCAATTAAATTTTTTTTTTTCGCCAATCGCACGCTGTAACTTCTTTTTTAATTTATTATTTTCATTACTTTTTATATATTAAGACAATTTTATTTATTTGTTTTTTTTAATTATTAATTACTTTTTTTGGAGGAAAAATTAATTAATTATTTAAAGAAAAGTAAAAATAATTTTAGAAAATCTTAAGCGGAATAAATTACGATCGTGGAAAAAGTTCATTTAGATGGAACAAAAGTGCATTGTGTGGAAAAAAAAATATATAGAGAAATTAATTTCTGGTTGAAAAAGGAAGATTCACCGATTTGAGTGTGTCGAGGGTGAATCAGCCCCGGGATTTGGGGTGTTTAACGCGCACTCGGAAAGGGCCACCAGTGCGTGACCCCCCCTTAGGAGGGTCAAGTACCGGAAGTTGGGAAGGGTGTTGAAGACCGGTGATGGTGGTGGATGCACAACAAATTAACCTGGACATTCGCTACGATGCAATTCGTAAACCCACCCTCCTTCTCTTTAAAAATCAACCCGGTACGAACTCATCCCTCTCGTGACCAACGACCATCCCTCGAAACAACTATCGCCATATGTTGTGCAGGTGAAGACACACTGTCTCTATATTATATATATATGTGTGTACTATATATACACCTATATATATATAAGCGTAAGAACAAACCGCCATATATGGCCGAAGAGCTTTAGTTTCTGCTTTCTTGTACAAGGATTTATATTCCCGGCATGTGGCACGTGCCTACGTGATGAAAGAATCACATATTATAAGAAGAAGAAAAAAATTATATATATTCTTTATATCCAATATCTTCTGTTCACAAAACAAATCAGATATATCATGCCGTTCACTTTCTATTATTATTACGTCTCAAAACGATGACAGGACCAAAAAACGAAAATGAATCTCACGAATAACGCGCTTGATCAAGAGACCAATGACCTAATATGGGGGGATTCCTATTTTCAAATAGGAATTAAAAAAAAAGATTAATTATTGATAAATTTATGAACCATTTTTGAACCGAATAATATTTTTAGATAAAGAAAATTAGACTCATAAACAATCTTGTATGGAAAAAAAGAGTTATATAAAAAACAACTTACCAATCGGTAAATCTCGCACGTAAACGGTTGAATTGACACTTCTGATCGTGAGCCGCCGCAAATGATCATAATGACTCCTTTTTGCACTTCTACGTAGATCAAGAATCACGAACCACATTTCTTCAACCTCCATCATTCTCCTTATTATTTTGTGAATGATCTGAAAAAAAAATTATTTAAAAAAAATTAAAATAAATTATTTTCTAAAACGAAAAAACAAATTTAAAAGCAAAAAAAAATTCGCGTTTTTCTAAAACAAATTCAAATACACTGAAAAAAAAAAATTTATTTGATTTAAATAATCGGTTACTTGAATATTATCGCAAAGAAATATTTACTTGAACCAAATAGTTTTTATATATTTGAATTAAATAAATTATATTTGGACCAATAATTTTTGTATTTGAAACAAATACTATTTAATTGGCTCAAATAAAAATTAGTTTTTCAAATAAATATATTTTTTTTTGATAATAATCAAGTAATCGAATATTTGAATCAAATAAATTTTCTATACGTTATTAAATTAGACAAAAACATTTTTGTCTTTAAAATTTTTAATCTAATAAAGAATCTGTTAAAATTTAATAAACAAAATTTATTTAAAATGAAAGTTTTATCTAATTTTTTTTATAAATACAACAAAATTTATAATTTAATTATACTCTAACTTACATCTCAAAAAGAAAATAACCAAGAGAATAATGAATTACAGATAATCCGGCATAATCCTCCCTTTTGGTGTGATGAACATCTTTTCTTTCTAAACAACATTAAAATACGGAATTATTATATTATACTATAATTACAAAATATTATAAAACATTCTAGAGAACATGTTATAATATTTGTAATCATTCTTTAGTAGAAAAAAGCTGAAAACAAGAAAAATTAATATACAAAAAATTTTCCAATTGTAATGCATTAATAAAAATAAATTCCTGAAAAGTAAATAATAGAATTAAAAATAAAAAAAAAAATTTCTCACCAATATAACTGAAAATAACAACTGTTTAAACAAACAAAAAAAAATATTTTATACGCAAAGAAAATAAAAAAAATAAGATCCCAACAACATAGTGACATAAAGAGAAGAGTTTAGAGTAATATTTTACTGGTTTTACCAGTAAATGTGACACAAAGTATGTGTTTTCCCGATTTTCCTATACCTACCCGTAAATTAAAATCGGAATAAATATATCACACTCATACCAAAAAAAAAACTATTTCTTCCTACCTATAGCTATATTTAAGAAAAAAAAATCTATTTTTTAATCACACCGACTCTCTCATACCGCCCAGGTGCAAAAGACCTACACTAGGGTTAACGTCCCGGGACGCAACCGTCACCTGAGCTCAAAATTATACTCAGACATACACTATAAACAATATAAAGAAGAAAAATTGACAAAAATATTAATTAACTCTCTAAATTTGAAGTAATTAAAAATTTGATAGAAAACAGTCAATGATTCAAATAGTTTCTACTAATCATTTAGTTAAAATGTAACAAAATCACTAAATTTAACTATTTTTTCAATTATTCTTTTTTTTATCAAAGCAGTAATTTTTCACTAATTGCTAAAGAAAAAAGTAAGCCAAGCTTTTACTAACAATCATTTATTTATAACTACACAGAAAAAAATATTTACCTGAAATAGCGAAAAGTTTCACTAGAACAGCGAAAGATTTAACGGAAACAAGTAAAACTTTTGCTACTATAGTGAAACGTTTCGATGTTACAAGTAAATCTTTTATTCCGTGTAACAATTCAAATTTAGAGAGCAAGTAGTAAATATGAGAATTACTACAAAAAATAATATATTTTGTCAATAATGTCACTATGTTGCAAGGATTATCCCTCCCTGTTTTTATTTTACAATTAATATTCATTTTTAGAAAATTAGAAAAAAAAGTAGAAAAAATTATTCCGAAAATTCAAAAAAAATTTAATTAATTTTCATTTTCTGAATTTATTTTATTTTGATGCAAAGAAAATTTGTTTAATGAACTAGTTCAAACAGGGAGAGTTTTAAACAAAAAATCACTCACCGATCGGCGATCCAACGTTGGAGCAAAGATAACAATGCCCCTACCTTGGCTTCTTCTTGGACCACTCCCGAGATCCCTGTCTCTTCATGCACTTCTGCACAGGTCGGAAGCTATGCTGCCAGCAAAAAAAAAAAAAATAAAAAATAGACTACATTTGGAAAAAGATATGACAGCATGCTGGGGCCACTTTTCTTCGTCCACATCCTTCCTTCCTTTCATGATCTTCCTTTCTTGAGCACAAACTGAAAAAATAAAAAAATTTTTTGGTAAATAATAAAATTCTAATCACCTGCGTTATTATAAATTAGAAAAAATTACTAATAAATTTTTGTCTTAATTTTACATATAATTTCGAAATTAATTTTTTGTATTTAAATTATCTGAAGAAAAAACTTACTTTTCACAAATCCCACACTATTGAAAGAGAGATACGATGACAGCAAAAAGACGAATACTTCCTCTGCACTGCACCAACTGTCTGAAATTTTTTTAGAAAAAGATATAATAATTAATAATGTAATTAAAAAATATTAATTATTAATTAATAATTAAATTCGTAAATATTATGAAAAAATAAAAATTTTATTTCTTCAGTTAATCGATTAATAAACGATATAATTAATTTTTTTAACTCTTAATTACTTCAAGATCTAAAATATCTCAGAAAAAAAAATTTATCAACATACATTGAACTGCGCTCAGCCATTCAAGATCTCCTCCAGGAGCAGCTCCGCAACAAACACCCATCAAAAAATACACAGGCAAACTGAAAAAAAAATTATACGTAAACAAAAATTAAATTACAAAATTAATTTTTATTAATCAAATTATTTTTTTTATTAATTAATTTGATTAAAAATCAAAACTAATTTTACATGCGAATCTATTAAGTATATTTAATAGCTAAAATTTTTATTTTGCTTTCAAATTATATATACAAATATTTGACAAACAAAACGAAATTCGAAAATTTAATCGAATTTTTCCCTAAATTAATATACTATAATAATACTTGAAATTATAACAAGGTGGTTACTGTTTGACCTAAAGTTTTTAACGATTTCAGGAAAAAAAAATTGAGAATTGCGCGCGCAATGAACAGAGGCAAAAAAAAATAACTTGTCGGCTTTTCTCGCGTGATCTGTAATCATTCCGAAACAGTCGGCAGTCGACACTTCGACCAGAGAATTCCGTAAACGGGAAAATGCGAATGAATAATGGTAGAAGCGAAGAAAAAGAGATCGAGAGAGAGAGAGAGAAATAACACACAGGTGGCACCGGAAAAATCCACCTGCGTTCGGCTGTCTCCTCTCTTTGGCGCCTTAATTTACGCTTTAAAATCATCGTCTTCCTTCATCTCAATTTTTTTTTTATCTTTTCATCTCGTATCTATAGATCACTGTGCTCTAATTTTTTTTCCGAATTTCCTTTTTTTTTATTTATTGCATAATTTCAATTATTCACTTTAAATCAACAATTTCAAAGTAGAAAAACTAATTTTTATTAATTTACAATAATTTTACAAACTGAATAGCAAATTATTTCTAAAAAAAAAAAAACTTGTAAAAAGGCTGTAAAATTCAATTGATGCGTAAGGAAATTTTTTTTTTTTTTATACCGCAGAGAAAGTCAAATAATTATTTCATATAAGCTGCTAAATTTGGAACAGTTATATTACTGATAATCAATTTCGTTTGTGAGATAATCAATTCTGTTTCAATAACCGATACGATAATCAATCATTGAATCGCCATTTGTCAGTCAAAATAAATGTATTCAAATTTAAAATGCAATTATATTTACATGTATTTTCAAACCATCAATTAAAAGATTCATTTCACCTGATGATCCATTTTCAAACTTTATAATATACTTTTACTATTATCTCAAAATTTAATATTCGAAAATTTTAATTAAAAAAAAGAAAATTTATCATTTCATATTCTTTCGATTTTTCTTTCGAAAAACACTCGAGTTTATAAAAAATATTCTTTCAAATAAAGCGTTAAGAAAAATTTGCGAATTCGGAAAAAAATTGCATTGTCAAAATGGAATTTAGTCGAATTTGATTTTGAACCTAAAGGAAAATTTATGAAATGTAAAAAAAATTGACCAGCGCAAAAAATAATCAATTTCGATAATATAATCAGCCGAAATTTTTTTTTTTCCACCTTTTCGTAAAAATCGCAGTATAATCTTGAAGATCTTTTAGATTATTGGCGAATATTCGTTTTTAATAAGAAAGATGGTTATGGTTTTTAAATTTCCTTTTTTTTTTTTTTTGTATCAACGGACGGGATCAGTGGCTCAATGCCACTTGCAATCAACGCATTTCGAGCGTATATATATGTACGCAGACAGCTTGTTGCGTGCTGTAGGAGTCCCTGTCGCAAAACCGATATATGTAATTCGTATATACACGCGTGTTTAATTACTTGCATAAATTTACTTACCGAAACATGAAGCAGCAGCAAACGTTCAACATTCCCGGCTTCTTGGCACGTTCCGCACTTTCATTTCCTTATGAAGTACCGGTCATTTGCTTGGTGTATATTATACATTCTTATCGCAATGACTCAAGAAATTCATCGCAGTCCTCAAAAAGCTCGAACCTGAAAAATTTTAAAATATCAAATTACATTAATTGGCAATTATTTTAAGAAAAAAATTTTTTTTTCAACACTCTTATTTGAAATTATAAAAAAAACGATTACTTGGCAAAAAAAAAAAATTTATTTTTTAAAATAACGTTCCTGCGCTTTTGAAACATTAAACACCTGCAAATCTTATATTGCAACTTTCTATAAATATATATATAGGTAATAAAAGTTAAAAGTCTGTAATATGATAAAGCAATTTTTGGAATTTTACAGACTAATAAGAATATATTGGAGATTTATTACAAAAGATAAAAAAACAGATATATATATATCGAGAATTGGCCACTGAGGAAGCGTCGTTAAAACAATTTCTGGAGGTCGTTTTACGATGAAATGGTATGGCCATTCAATCGATTTGAGTAGCGCGTGGCCATATGTATTATAATAGCGAGAGCGAAAATGAGCGCGCATAAAAATAAAATGTATATATATATATATAATTTCAACGATAATAAGTATATTGCCACGGGGACTTTAATAAATACAATTATAAAGACGCGAGAAGAAAATTCGAGATTCGATATTTAAAAAAGCAAAAACTATAGAAAAAATAACCAATCGAAAAAATATTTCCTAAATAAAATTAATATTTAAAAAAATACCATTCTGCAAAAGAAAATTAATAATTACCAAATTAATTTTTTTACAAAATGTGAAAATAATTTTTTTATAATGTCTCGTTAATTTAATCATAAATCGAAAAATTAATCATCTACACCTTTTTTTTTCCTGAAATATTATTGTTCATCAATGCTTGGGCTTTTGATAATATCTCAATAAATAAATATATATATATATACATATAATTCGAATGATATTATCGCAGTTAATTCATAAATAAATGTATATATGCGCTCAATGCATGTGCAGATGCATTTCTTCAAGGTTAAAAGATTATCGCTATATATGACTATTGTCTGTCAAAGGTGAAAAGGAGCGCGTTTTCCACTTGATGAGATGGTAAGACAGCTGGTGCAGGTGCCAGCTTCATCTATACGCAAGATTCCACAGAAAAATTAACTTGAAAAGTGGCGCCTTTATAATAAAACACTCGATAATAGAAAAAAATTTCAATTCTCTTTTTTAAAAATCCCAATTGTCGTTAATTATTTTTTTCAACACCTTTTTGATCCCAACTCTCGACGATTTTATTTACATTAAAAAAAAAAAAATACTCCATCACAAAAAGAAAATAGAGATTTGAAATTCTATTTTATTTTCATTTTTACGATCATTTTTATTATTTTGTTTGTGGGATGTCTTAATTTAAAAAAATCTAATTTCTAACAAGTTTCTTGACCGAAAATGAAAAAAATATGACTTTAAAGATGATCTGATTAGAGAAGGAAAGAGAAATAGAGAGTGACAGACTTTTTAAGATAAATTTCGGAACCACATAAAAAGGAGTGTGCGCACCTTTCATTCTTCTAATCTGGGGGGCACGTGTCAGTATAGACATTTAAAAGTTCCGAGCCCACCGGGTGACCCTTGCTGTAGTCAATCGGGGTCCCTCTCTTATTATATATATATATATATATAGAAGTCATTGTCTCCAGATAGTCCTAAACACTTCGTTTTCTAATCTATTCTTCTTTTATTTCCAGATTCACTTTGGAGATATGACACTGACCTGCTCGACCAAAAATTCTTCCGACGAAAATTACGAAAAAAACATTTATACACCTAAGAAGCAGCTGAAAATAATAACACACCCTCTTTCGAAGACAAAAAAAATCTAAAAATTTTCACTCAATTATTACACACACAAAAAAAAAGAAGGCATATTAATAATATTTCCCTGAAATTGAAAAATTTTATTCAATTTTCAAAAGCGCAGGTGTAAACGAAATTTTCTGTCAAAATTATATCAATGTGATAATTATATATTATAATTATTTTAATTACTATTGTAATTATTTATCAACTTATTATTATTTTCATTAATTATTTAAAATGTAATAAAATAATTATATATTATCTCTCTAGTTTAATTGTATTAACTCTATATACTGTAATTAGGGTAATTCTTTTTTGGATTAATAATGAAATTCTCTATGAGCATTATATTGAACGTATATGTCAAGTAAGCATCATGTAAAATATTTAGCAGAGCAAAAATGATGATTACAAATAGGCAGGTGCTAATAAAAATTGGATGTACATTAATTCTGGTGACCTCGATTATTTTGCAACTCCCTTTATACACATATAGTTGCATCGTTTCCTAATGTAAATTCCTATCATTATTTTTCCTAGAAATTAAATAATATTCTATTTTTTAATATATCAAATTATATATTTATTATATGATAAAAAGCAATATATTTTCATACACCGCTTCTTAAGGATCTATATTTAAAATATTGAATATTTGTCAAATTAATCAATTTAATAATAAAAAATTCAAGTTTAATTTAATAATTTATATTTTAATGTGACACTATTTTAATATACTTTAAATTGTTTATATATATGAACAATATATTATTGTTATTGAAAATTATATTATGAATTTCAGGTTAAGTCAGTATAGCGACTATGCAATAAAGTTTTAATTGTTTCAATTTAACAAAATTTATCAAATGACAATTATACTTACATGTCACGAAAAATTGTAATTGTTATTTTAATTGTCACAATTAAAACAAGTATGCATTAATGGATATTAATTATGTCGCGAATAATGAGAAAAATAAACAAACGTTTTCACAATAATAAGTATTTGTTGTTGCAATTGGAATACGTAATTGACAAGAATATCAAATGCATTATTTTGTTCTAGATATCTCTTTTTTATCAAAGTCTATTGTAAATTTTAGCACACGACACTAATTTTATTAAATATAAATCACTAAATTAAAAAGTTTAATTAACTTTGTTCCAAAAATGTTTACAGTTGTGAATATACGTTGAAAATATCTGAAAATAAACTGAGGTGCCATCTAGCAGCAATGTGTTATACTAACGAAACTCAACTGTTTGCCTATGTGCAGGCGTAACTGCCTCTCGATATCAAAACTCATTAACTAAACTTATTATTAAATAAATAAAAATCTATAATATAGCGATATATTAAAAACCTAATATATATTTGTTTTAATATTATTTGCTACATATTTGTATATCAGCAACTTTATAATAAAAAGAAATTATAATGCTACTTCAATAGAATGCGATTTCAGGTTATGAATATTTTATATATATATATATATTATGAATCTAATTTTAATTTACCTATTTAAGTTTATTATATTATACATAGTACCTATGTATTGTTTTTTTACTAAAGAAATTAATTAACCTACTCTATTTAACAATATCTAATTATTCAATGATATTAATTTCGACAGAGAAAGTCTACAACATATTAATTGCATTATCCTAGTACTATTATGTATTATTATCAAATTTATACCTGCATCTCCAAACTTGCTTTATTCATCTTTGAATTCTCCTCTTCTATAGGAAAAGAGTGGGGAAAATCAATGGTTCCTAATGAAAAATTGTTCAAAACATTTCTTGAAGTGACATAGATGTTGCATCCATGATGTCCAAGATGGAACTGAGAGTGCGATTCCTTGGTGAAATTTCCTTTATTTGTTCTTGAATTGTCCTCTTCTATTGCAAAAAAGCTGGGAAAATCAGTTGTTGCTGAATAAAAATTTGTTCCAAAAATTTCTTGAAGCGACGCAGATGTTACCTTCACGATGTCCAAGTTGGAACTGAGCGTGCGCTGTGGGGAAATTTTATTTTATAGTTCGAGCTTAGTCTGCCGCTTGGTCTGCCGTGCGCTGATTGGACCGGGTATTCACTGCGGTTAGCGCTGATTGGCTGGCGCTCCTGATGCCAACACAAGTCTATAAATATTGGTCGTTTTCTCCCACCACTTCAGTGAGCAGTAAACTCTTCACCACGCAAGATCTGTGCTGTTTGAAAAAATATTTTTTTTTAGATTTTATTCTTTATTTTTAAAGAAAGTATAATCGTAATCACATTCCTATTTTATTTATTCTACTTCAATATTACTATTTGTTTAAATAAAAAGTTTTATATATGAAATAATTAATTATTCAAAGTTATATAAAATCATTATGATATTAGGTGAATTGATTCTGTATCAACGGATTATAAATCGAAGAAAAAAGAGATTTGTGGTTAGTATTTAGCTTTTTTAAACTATTTGAATAAATATGTACTTTTTCCAAATTAATGAGGGAATAATAGGGACATTAACTGACATCTCCAACATCGTGTCGTTGGTATAGTGTAGAAGCTTTAACATTCGGTATTCACTAACACAAATGGTAACGTAAACTATAAACGGGAACATCAAACGGGCGCTAGCGTACTTTCTCTAAACTACAATATGAAATTCTTCTTTGCCGACCTTCCGCGGTAATTTTGAAACGAATTTTTCTTATATTACCTTTAGAGCACAAAAGGAACTACTTCTATTTTGTGCCAACAGGTAACATTACTGTCATAAGTACAAATAACATCGACAAAAACATCAATATTTTAAATTAATCGCAAGTTATCGCTTTATATTTTATTCCTTTGTTTTTGCATTTATAAGAAATAAATTCTTTTTCTAAACAAAAATCAATCAATAAAATATTTTTGACAACAAATAAATCTTTATGACTATGTACGCCAGACCGGAAATGACAATCGAGAGGGAAATAATGCTCTTTCAGAATAAACAAATTTTATATTACTCTTCACTTTATCTAATATTTCAATTTCCATAAATCAATTATTAAAAAAAAATTTGCTAACTTATAAATGTAAAGATAAATTATATCTATTTTTATATAAACAAGTAAAAATCTATCAGAAAATTAAATGAAAACAGAAAAATTTCATTCTTAGAAATATCGACGCCATGTTGATTCGTTCAAACAATTGTGGCGGTTTTTTAATACATCAAATATACGATAAATGTTAAATCGATTTTAATAAATGAAAAAAAAACTAAAGTACATCAGAAAAATAAAATTTTTACCACTACTTATATTCCATTTATCAAATTAAATTAGATAAGTTCTTATTCAGCAATTATCATTTATTAAAAACTATGTTGCTCTAGTACAGTAACCTCAAAAATTATCCTACGTTTTGTGATTATGATTTCCAAATATGAGGTCTTATTTTGTAAAATTGAATGTGGGGCGTCCTGAGAAAGATGTAGAGAAAAAAAAACTGACTCGATTTTCTGCACATTGTATTACTGAATAATCAACTGTTTCAAAGTTATCTTTAATCACACATCACTTTTTTGTACATATGACGATTCACTTTTGACTGATATTGTACCACGGACGCGCCGTCGAAACTAACTGCTGATAGCCTGCAGACACCACGAGACAAAATAAAACCTTTTTCTCAATGAAATCCCTCTGTAATCGAATTTTGCAATATCGAATCTCCCAAAAAAAAATGCAATTTTTTTTTTATATGAAAATTTCTTTCAGCTCTACATTTAGAAAACAATTTTTAAACCAAATTTTAACCTAATTAATTAAATTAATTAGAAAAATGCAAAATATTTAAAAATACCTTTATAAGGAAAATAATTGAACAAAACAATGTTGTTGAAAAAAAATGAGGTTAGAAAAACGAGTTATTTTAGAATTAATTTCTCGATAGAATTATTGGTTAAATTTTTCATTTTTTTTTTTTTTAATAGTAATTATAAAAAGCGCGAAAAACGTTTGTTCGATTCTACATATATAAGGCAGTAGTCGTATAAAGCACAGTAAGGAAAATTAAAATACAACTTTTCAACACGAGATTGTTACTATCATACCTTTAAGTCGCGATATGGTGGGTGGGGCATGATGGGAAAATTGTAGAGAAAAAAAAGTTAGTCCGATTTGGTCTATATTATATTGACTTTAGAATAATAGATAAAAAGATATTTCATATTGAAAGTGAATTTATTTGGAAAGACGAGACTATTAATGATTCAACTGTACTCGTGACGCCGCTACATCTATGCTCTCTTGTACAATCATAATCAAAATTTTTCCATGGAAATTTGTCGAATATTCTCAACAAAAGCCTGGGATCACAATAATATGAATGGGGCGTCATAAGAAAAATGTAGAAAATAAAAAACTGACACAATTTAGTGTATATCTTATTTGTTTTTAACGTTTCATTTAAGAGTTATAGATTTTTCAATAATTAACAAAGAATTGTTAGAATTGCTATTTCTTACAATTGACTGTACAACGCTATGGGAGTTCGCTGTGCCGGCAATACGGCATCGGCTCAGTTGCAACTAGAACGTACAACAAGAAACATCTCACCATGGCTGATATTTCCAAGGACGATCTTCGCAAAGAAATCACCGGTGAGTTAAAAAAATCCTTTGATTTACGTTAATATTAATATTAAAAATTGTAAAAGTTTATTTTATCTTTATTGATGTTTATTTTTTTTAATTATTTTCAAGTGAAAAAGATAAGAAAAACATGCACTTTACTCTTGGTTAGTGAAGCTCAAATAACGTTCTATGTACTTGAGTGGCGTGCCCAACGCCGGCCATTATACATGAATATTCGTCTTTCATCGTTCATCTATATAGCTTAATAATGAAACGATTAAATATTTTTCCAATTATTCAAATAGTTGGGGGATTTTTAATTAAAATTTTTCCAATACAATAATATTTTCATGTTTTTTGTTCGTTTACGTATAAAATGGACTTTCTCAGGGCGTCGTTGTCTTTTCTCTTGATATGACGCGTCTGGCGGTATAATAGTGGCGTGCAACGAACAAGGCGTTCTTGATAAATTTTTTTTTTCCTCTAAAAAAAAAAAGCTTAGAAAATTTTGTCAAAAAATATTGTATTTTTTTTTATTTATTTAAAAAAATTTTTTTTTCAAAATTAAGTAATTTCATTGTCTGATTTTGAATTACTAAACAAAAGAGGGTTATTTGACGGTTTTCTAACTTTTCCCGCCGATGTGGAATGTTGCTTTGTTCGTGACGTTGTTAAAATAATAGATATCATTTATTGAGTCAGTTATTAATGATTATTTACAATCGGTGAATTGTATTTTCAGTGATAATTTGTTAAGCGGCTATTTTCTCTTACTCTTCCGGGTTTTTGGAGCGACATTGTGTGTGGGGAGAGTTGATTTCGTTTCGAAATTATTGATAGAAGGAGACGTGATTCGTTGATGGGGGAGAGACGACGTTGAAAATGCAGATTTTTAGATAGCAATACGCAGCGTACTTTGCCGCATCTCGATTTACTTTCAGACATTTTTGATTAAGAAGCGGGTCGATTGTTGACTATACTACATCCGCGGGTTCGGCCATCTGCGCTCGATACACCTTTTCTCTTGATTCCCGTTTCCCGCCGCATTCAGTATTATTAGTCCCTAAAGGCCAGGTAAATGCGCACTTGAACCAATTTTCGGAGCTGGATCGAATTTCAACCCTGGAAAGTCTTAACGATTTATTCAGCTTGTTTTCTATTTTTTTTTTTTTTTGTTTTTTTTTTTAATATTTAGAGGGGGAAATTGTCCTTTATTATTGATTAATTGTAGTTATTTTCTATCCTGTTTCAAAAATTTTTCTTATTAATTTTTGAATAATTTTTTTTTTTTAATTTAGTTTTAAAAATTATTAAAAATAATTTGACTTACGATTTTTTTTTTTCAGCCATTCTTAAGGATGCTGACCTCTCAACGATGTCCGCCAAGAAAGTTAGGCAACAAATTGAAGAGAAATTGGACATTGATCTTTCTGAAAGGTAAACAAAAAATTTAATGTAGTTTTATAAAAGTGGATGCTGTATTTTATTTTGCGTTAAAGTAATGCAATTATAAATATGATATCCTAGATTAATAAGAAGGTCTCTGCGTGAAACTGAAAAATTCAAAGTATTCACCTCGTTCCCCTTCATACAAAAAAAAAATAATAAATTCGAATTTAAAAAATGACCATGACCCTTTAAATTATAAAATCTCGAGACTTGAGCAAGATTAAAATCTTGAATAACAATTTGAATCGGATAAATAAAATATGAGATTGTTTTCTTAAAAAAAAAAAAAAAAAATTGTATTATAGGAAGAAGGAGGTTGACGATTTAGTTATGGAGTGCCTGCAAGAGAAAGATGATGGTGGCAAGAAAAAGAAGAAGGCCGCCAGTGAGGAGTCTGAGGATGGCGAAGAGGAGGAAGATGAAGCCTCCGAGGAGGAAGAAGAAGAGGAGGAAAAAAAGCCCGCAAAGAGAGGACCTCCCAAAAAAGCAGCCAATAAGCGCAAGAAGGGCTCATCTGATGATGAGGAAAGCGCAAGTGATGAAGACGCCAGTGATGAGGAATACAGTCCCAAGAAGGGAAAACCATCACCCAAAAAGGGTAAAAAAAAAAACACTACAAAATAAAATTTTTATAAATTTAAAAAAATAATAAATTAATTAAATTTTTTTTTAAATAGGAAAACCAGCCAAAAAGGGAAAAAAGAAGGGAAGCGACAGTGACAGTGATGAAGATTGGGGAAAGAATAAGAAATCCGGAGGTGGTGGTGGTGGTGGTGGCGGTGGTGCCGCGAAAAAGGGAGCCAAAGGTAAAGGTGGTGGCGGTTACACACGTCCCATTACGCTTTCACCAGAATTGGCCGCTATTGTCGGTGCCGAAGAAATGGCTAGACATCAAGTCGTTAAAAAGGTCTGGAGCATCATCAAGGAGAGAAATCTCTATGTAAGTATTTCCCCTCCTCCCCCTTTTTTTCGTATTCAATTTTCAAAAATTTAAATTCATTAACAAATTTAATAATAAAAATTCTTTTCATTTTTTTCAGGATCCCAAGAATAAGCAATTCGCCATTTGTGATGATGAATTGATGAAGGTAATAGGAGTCAAACGTTTCAGGACCTTTGGTATGATGAAATACCTCAAAAATCACTTCGTAGATTAAATCCATAGTTTTTTAAGTCAATCCCCATCCCCCCCAAAAAAAAAAACCCCCCGGCAAATTAAATTGTACAAGTTTTTAATGATAAAAATCCGCGATGCGATTCCGCAATTATTATAACATAAGGCAAATTCGCGGATAAAATCCCATTCACAAATATAAACACCTCTCTTTTACAAGTTTCGATGAAAAAAAAAAAAGAAACCCGATTGCTTTTTGCCAATTGTTCAATTTTTTATATCTTCAACACTTTTTATCGACATTTGTTTTTTTTTTATCAAACTTGCATTTGAGTTTCTTTATTTGTGTATGGTACATAAAGTACATCTCTTTATAGATTTTTTTCCTCTAATTTTTTCGAAATATGTCAAATCTAAAATGCAAAGCATGAATTGCTTTTTTTTCTAATTTAAAGAGATTTGACGAATTTTGAATTTATTTTGTATAAATGGTTTTGTTTGTTTCTTGAGTTCTAATATTTTTTGGAAACTGAATTTTTTTTACTTATTTGATGAAAGAAGGAAAAATTTTTTTCAAATGTTGAATATTTTTTTACGAACATTTTTGTGTTCTGCTAAAGATAATGATAATTAAAAATCAAAGATTATTTTTTATTTATTTTTTTTTTTTTTTGAGAAGATGAAAGCGGAATCCTGGAAACATGCAAAAAGTGATCACAATAAAGAAGATAATTCTTTTTATCTTTTTTGTATAATAGTTACAGTGGCACACTGAAATTTACAACTAAGCGAGAATTAATTGTATTAACATGTAATTACTAATTATTGTCGTAAAGTAGGTTTTTGGTGTAAAAAAAAAAAAAAAAAAAAAAAATTTACCTAAGAATTTAAGGCTTAGTACATGAAGTGATTGTTTATCGATACAATGTTTATCGAATTAAAAGTGCGAGTTTTTTTTTTGTTCGCACTTTTCACGTGTGTAGAACTTGTGTCGTTTTGGATATAAATTTAACTTTAAGTTTTGCCTATATTCGATTCAGTGATTGTCACATGGGCATCTTGATTATAAATTTTAAACAATTAATGCATAATTAAATAATTTTTTTTTTCATAAAACCCTTTTATCAAATTTTTTTTAATTAAATGAATTGATGACATTTTTAATTTCTTTTTTTTATGTAATCTTACATATAAATGCATGAAACAAATATTGAATCACTTTTGATTTAAAAAAAAATTTTATTCCATCACAAAATAAATAAAGGGGTTTTTGAAAAAAAAATCAATATTTCTAGTAAAAAAAAAAAGAAAAAAAAATGAACAGAAAAGTAATCATTATATTTTATCAATCTTTGGTATATTATACGTGTATCAAAAAAAAAAATTAATTTTTTTTTTCTTGACTGCATATTATATATGAAATATGTTTACTCTAAATACATAGTAACCATAGCGTCATAAAAAAAATAAACATGTAAAATTTTTATGTTCTCCATTACGAAGAAAATATGCATTATACAAAATACAAATCTGTATATTGTTCCATGAGTGTAATTGATTTTTTGTGTCTAATTAAAGTCATTGCTTTCATTTTTTTAAGTGTGCGTTTATTCGTGTTTCGTTTTTACCTGAATTTCTTTTTTATGAAAATAACATTTTTTTTTGTTTTAAAATTTTTTGAGAAAGGAGTTGAAATTTGGCATTTTTCGAACGATTTTTGAAATTGATGATTAACGGTTATAAAAAGTCCATCATTTTTCAAGATCGTCTTCAACTATTGTAAGAACATGCTGAGCATTATCGCGTCGACCACGAAGACCAAAAATATAAGTTTGCATTTTTTTTGTATTTGTACTGTTTTCTTTTCTTGTTTGAACTTGTTGATTTTTAGGTGGTTCCACTTGACTCTCAATTCCGCGTCTAAAATACGATTTTTGCGTTTGTGTACTTCTTGTTGATAATTTACAAATTGTCGCCTAAAATATATAAATATTCTAAATTTTTGATAATTATATTAATTATTTACTTTTTAATTTATTCTAATTAAAATTTAATTTTTTTTGTATTGAAATTTACTAATTTCAGAGCTTTTCTTCTATAATCCCAAATATTGGATGAATAATTTTTATCAATGAGCGATGGCAAGATATGTAATTCAGTTTGTACTTCCTGATCTTGTTGGACCGTTAATAGAGAAATATCTGCGGTTAATCTAAAAAAAATATTAAATACAATATTTTATTTTTATTTTAACGATAAAAAAATAGATAATTACATTTCTTGATTTCTTATAGCTTCCACATCATTGTAGATTTGAAAAAGATAAACATATTCCGGACGTTTACGTATAAAATCCAAAATTTCAATTAAACACCTGATGAAAATTAAAAAATTATATTTATTAATTTTTTTTTAGAGTTGGTTTAAAGATTTTTTTATACGCACTTGTTTGGATTTTCTCCAAATTTACGAGCAGCTTTCAAAGAACTGAAGGCAAAATATTTTCCTCTCCATTTAGCAACTCCAATGTTTGGATTACCGGGTAAAAGAAATCCTTTACCTTGTACAAATGTCCAGGTACAAAATCCAAGAAACTGGAGAGAAATTCTTTTTTTGTAAAATGTAAGTAACTTTTAAATATTTTTTTTTAAATTAAAAATTTTTAACATTCACCTCTAAATTTATTTTCTCAAAATCTTTCGTTGAATTTGGATAGAAAAGTTCACATTCCCCACATTCGGCTAAAATAAAAGGAATTCGATATTAAAAATTATTCTAAGTTATAATATTTAATTTTAATAAAAAAAAAATCCTACTTATCATGTAGCCCATGGATTTTTCTAATCTTTCAGCGTCTGATAAAACTCGAATATCTTGTATCATATTACTCAAAAGACATTCATCATAAACACTCATAATCTGTGAGATCAATTTTATCAAAATTTTGTATTTTTTTTATTTGAAAAGAGAAATTTATTTTTTGAAATTTACCTTTACATAAAGACTTTGCAATTGCCAAAGAAAACGATTAATATTACTTAACACAATCACTTCGTCCTGAAAACTCATCCAAATATCCGCCAAGTCTATAAATTGTGGCTAAAAATTTTAATTATATTTAAAAATATTGGTTTTTAATAAATAATTTAAAAAAAAATTTCAAATTTTTTTTTTTCTAACTCACATAAACCTGAGATGTTGGAATTGCTGTTCTATAACGAACTGTTTCATGAAGTTTAATAAATCGTGTTTTTAATCGTTCCAAAATGTTTTTTAATTCATTTTCACAATTTTCAATATCGCACAAAATTTTTCTATGAAAAAAAAAAAAAATTAGAAAATATGTAGCAATTATTTTTTCGATTTTAATTAATTTAAATTCTTTTTCAGATTATATTGGAAATATCATAACCTGATGTAAATTTCCTGTTGACGAAGAGCCGCAAGCATTTGAATGGACCACTGAATATCATCATTGGTAAATGAATTAGTTAATTTTTTATTATCATTATCGGAACAAATTTCCTCATCATCAGATAATTCAATTTGAATATTATTTTCAATAGCTGAAGTAAATTTATAAATTCGTTGCATAAGTTGTTCCAAAAGTTCCATAATCGATAATTGTGTTTTTTTGATAGCTTCTTGTAAAATACTTGGCACTGGTAAAATATAAATATTTTATCTCATATTCATTTATATAAAAAATTAATTAAAAACCAAATAATTAAAATTGAGGGAAATTAACTTAAAAAAAAAATTTTTTAATAGTTTTTAAAAAAAATTCTAATTTTTTTTTTGCAAAAATTAAATATTGTACAATCATCGATTCCTTCTCCTCCTCGTTCACAATCTCTATTAAAGAGACGAATGCCCGCTACAATACACATTAATTCCATCAATTGCTCCTCTTTCTCTTCCTTTTGTAAAGTTATATAACGCGACAATTCCGAAGGCTGATAAACACTCTGTAAGGCCAGTGACACTTCTCTAAAAAAAAATATTTATCAATTTTCTTTTTTTTTGTTTCAGGTTTAATTTTTAAGTGAGAACATTTCGAGGGGAAATAAATTATCAAAAATTCTATTTACCTGAGAACAGAAGGAACTGTTGGATTTCCTAAGCCACTCAATAGAGTAATTACCACTAAAATTTTTTGATACAATTTTTCCATATCTCTATCGGAATCTAATTTTTTTGTTTCGCAAATTTCCCTAACAAGAGAAGCTGTCTTCTCATGAAGTCGTAATCTGTGTTTTTTGATAATTTCATCTATTTTTAAAAAAAAAGAAAATTAATTTAGTTAATCCATGAAATATTTATTGTAGATTTTTAAAAAAAGTAAACTAAATTTCAAATAAATAATTTCATTACCTCTATCAAAATAGTGTTTTGCGAAATAAAGTTGAATTTTAATAGTGACCAAATGCGGTTTATTTTGGTCTAGTAAATTTTTCACCAAAACTGATACAACTTTTAAAATTTCCCTCTCATCACTTTTTTCAATTGAATATTCTGGATTTAATAATGTCAAGCACAACTGGCAAAATTAAAAGATTTTGCAATAAATATATAATATTATATTTGCAAATTAATTAAATAATTTATATAAATAAATAACATTTTCAAATTCAAATTTTAATTTAAAAAAATTAATAAATTGTTTATAATTTAATGAAGTAAAAAATTTATTTTTTTTTAAATTAAATTATTAAAATTAACGTACTAGAAAGGACACTAAATCACTTGATACGTCAATATCTCTTTTTTTACATTCTTTAGTGATCGTTTCTATTAAATCCTTTTTTATCAAATCCATTGTGAATGAAGCAAATACCTTTTTTCAATATCACCTGTGTTACAAGGAACAATAAACAGCAATTGTTTGATCGATATTTGTATGGAAACCATAATTATTATGTAAAACTAAATATTCTAATTCCTACATTTATTTTTTATTATTCAATAAAATTGTTTCAATTGATAAAAAAAAATTATTTATAACAAAAGTTACAATTTTGATTTTTAAAAAATTCTATACAAATAAATTAATTAAATAATTAATTATTAATAATTAAACTTTCAGTTAAATAAATTAAAATTCTCCCAAAGAATATTTTAAAAAAAATATTTTTAAAAATTTTTTAAAATTTCAAAAATTGAAAGAAATAAAAATTAACCCTATTGGTCAAGAAAATAGCGCCTTTTTTTAAAACAGTTGTTTTAAAACAAAATTTCAAATATTCGCGCAATGTCTAGACCAATGGGATAAATTTCCATTTTGTAAATAACACGCATGCGTAGAAATGGATATTCATGAAAATCATCCCTAAAGTCTCGCGAAATCAAAACGAAGATGTCTTTCTAGAAAAATTTTCAAGTTTACGGCTAAATTGAAAAGTAGTGGGAGGTGGAACGTATTTTTTTTTTTTTTTTTTTTTTGAGGTGAATCGTGAACCAAAGGGGCGAAGTAAACTTGCAAAGCACAACATTGGGGGAAAAAAAAAAAAAATAAAAGGATTTTTCGTGCGTGAATATCACGTCGATTCACAATTTTCGTGTGTCGATTGATTTTCTTGTTTATTGGTTAAAGTGTAATTGGGAAAATCACTTGAATATAATTCGTTGTAGGAAAACACGCAGCTCTTCAAGGGCGCGTTGTCGATTATTGTTACGAACGAAAACTTTGAGAAAATGGCCGACAATTGGGCACAAAATCTACAGAGTACAGTTTGCCGGTAAGAATTAATAAGAATTTCAATGATTTAGTGACAATTGTTTTAAATGAATTTAATTAATTAATATATTTTGTCTTTATCACTATTTAGTAATGATTGTCATTTCTCATATATAGTCAGTGTTCATTCATTTGTTCGATTACGAGAAAACGATGGAAAGAAATGTTCTCTCAAATGTCAACAATCAACGGATGTAAACATTGAATTTTTTTTTTTTCCATGTCCTGATTTTGATATTTTCATTTTATTTATTTTGTATTGTTGTTAATTTCTGAAATTTAGGGAGTATTTTTTTCTTTTTTTTTAGAATTTGAAATTTTATTTAGATTGTCATTTTAACGTCAGCTATATATATGAGAAGAAAGAGAGTGTTGCATCATGTAAAATTGCATTAGCATATATAACGGTAGCAGACTTGTTTATGCTTGAAAATTCATTATGTATTTTTAGGTATTTCAAAAATGGAATATGTCGCGAGGGTAGTCAATGCAGATATCGACATGTACAGGGAAGTCAAAACAGTTTAAATAGTAGCAGCAATTCAGAAGTTGTTTATCTTCCATCGACGACTGCTTGTCGTTATTTCAAAAATGGAACATGCAAATACGGTACACGATGTCGGTATAGTCATAATTCCAATCATTCCACTAACACAGAGACTGCAGAACCTCGAACTTCAAACAGTTCCTCGACATCAGACTCAGAAAGAATGTAAGTTTTTATTTTCAATTAGCAATCGCTTCTTTTTTTTCCCTTAATTACAAAAATCTTGAAATATATAATTTTTTACATTCTTGACTTGTTTGGAGAATTTAAAAATCTGTTTTTCCTTTCTCTCAGGAGCGATGGAATAGTCGCGGGCGAAGACTGGGCAAATGCACCAGAATTCGTGCCATCATCAATCCCATCAACTGCCTCAGCATCATTTAGTGCCCAATTACCAGGAGTATCATTAATTGGAAATGTAACATCCGCAGTTTCCTATGCTCAAGTGGTAAATCCATCATCTGGGCAAACCTCAATATCCGCGAGTGATCCACTTTGTCCTTACGCAGAAGCTGGTAATATTTGCAAAAAACTCAACTGCCCTTATCTTCATGGAGATATTTGCGAATTGTGCGGTTGTGCTGCACTCCATCCATTAAACGAAGAAAGTCGAAAGAAGCATACAAATGTGAGTTCAATTAATCATCATTTTTTCCTATTTATTTATTTAATTATTAAATTTCTTTTTCCACAGGCTTGTGTCAAACAACACGAGGTAGACATGGAAATATCGTTTGCAATAGCGCGCAGTCGAGATAAATCTTGTGGTGTATGCTTCGAGACAATTATGGAGAAATCAACACGGGAACAAAGGTTTGGAATTTTGCCAAATTGTAATCATTGTTTTTGCTTGACATGCATCAGAAAATGGAGACAAGCAAAACAATTTGATAATAAAATAATCAGAGCCTGTCCCGAATGTCGAATTCCATCAGATTTTGTTTGTCCAAGTATGTATTGGGTGGATACAAAAGAAGAAAAGGATAAATTAATCACAGATTACAAGGATGCCTTAAGGTGAGAAAACATCTTTTTTAAATTTTTAAAAAAAACTATAATTTTCTTTAATTTGATATTATTACCAATAATTTCATTGAAATAATTTTTATGTTTTGCTTTTTACAGTACCAAAGATTGTAAGTATTTCAAAAAAGGCCGAGGTAAATGTCCCTTTGGAAATAAATGTTTTTACCTTCACGCTTTGCCCGATGGCACAAAAACCGATGTTGGACCACCGGTTAGACAGCGCCGCAATGCCGACTCAGACATTGACATTTTTCATGTAAGTCTTCGATCATCCGGGGACTATTTATTAACATTAATATACATTTTTTATTACCTCTTTGGTTTTGGTACATCTATTTATATTTTCTATTTGTTTTATCGTGAATCAATTTTATTTTTATACGTTTATTGTATACTAATTATATGCTCATTATGGTGCTTTCCATATTTTGCCAAGTATTTTTCAAGATACTTAAATTTATATTTTGATAGATAAAAAATTGTAAAATACCTTGTTTTTGCGTACAAATTTACAAGTTTGTTATACGCATTTTGTATTCACAATTTTTATTATCAAAATATTTTTTTTTTTAAAAGCCATAAAAATTAATTTTTAGAAAAATTTATTTTGTACCCTTTTTTATTTTAAATTGATACTTTAAAAAAAGATTACAAGTGACATGACATCAAATACTCGTATTTTGTATTTGTTTAGGACTGATATTTTTAATAAAATTATTGAATGAAATTAAACTTTTTTTTTTATTTTTTGTTTGGAGATTTTTTTTTTCTACTTTATGTCAAAAAGTTTGTCTATCGAATTGGAAAAAATTCATTTCATATGAGGGCAAATAGAAAAATTTTGTTGTTGCCTTTGGAAAAGAAATTCTTTGGTTTTTTTTTTTTTTTTTTTTTTATCTATATTGAATGGAGAATTTAATTTTTCTAATGAAAATTTATTTTTCTCAACAGCAATTACTATTGTGGGATTTTTTGGACGAGAGAGGAAATCGTTGGATGTACAGCTTTGACGATTTCGATGACATCATCAACAACATCTCCGATTCGGAATCTGACGAATGGTCAGAATATGAAGTACATGTCGTCTAGTCGTTTACTTGGCGAGATAAAAAAAAAAAAAAGAAAACAAAACAAAAAAAGAACGTGTCACCCTATACTCATTCGATTGAGTTGCATATGGTTTAGCCATTGTCGAAATTATTTCGAATAATGACAGTGACGCTTTGCAAAGTGGCAGTCCTTTTCCAATTGCCGGGAAACCATCCAGTAAAAAAGAGAAAAAAAAAACCGCAAAAAAAAAATCAATCAAGCGTTTTGTCGTTATACACGAGTGAATGATTTTTCCTAGAGTATAAATAGGGTTTAGGCGAATTCGGTGGAAGTCTCTGTAATCGTTCGCTTCTATGTCTAATATACTTAGGGGGATAAATTAAGCTACATGATAAGAACGCTTGAATTTCTGGGATTAAAAAATTGCGGTTCGATTAAAAAACAAAATACTGGTGGAATACGGCCTCTTTTTTCGTTTAGCTTCAAATTTTTTCATCCGATTAGAAACTTAAGCTTTCTGTTCGGTCATCAAAAAAAAAAAAAAAGAAAAAAAAAAGTGGTCCAAATTATAAACAATTACGGTACAACTCGCATTTAGAAAAGACAGTGATTCAATTCCCACTTGGTTCCTCTAGTTTGTAGGTTTAAAAAAAAAAAAAACTCATTAATTTATTTTTCTTAAATGTTTTCTCGTATGTCAAATCACATCATGTATTTAATCACTAAAATTTATGAGATAAAAAAAAATGTATCTAAGTCGAATGAGAACAAAGATTTGACGTTTTTCTGTAACTGAATCACTTTTTTAATTATTAGAGAGAAAAATTAAAATTATTTGCAGTGTTTATGTTACGGCATTATTTATCTTAAGAGAAAAGTCGCAACCGGGTGACAAAAAAAAAAAAATAAATAAATAAAAACGTGTTTTAATTTGGCATTTATCCAAGATTTTCGTTGATCGAATTTGTGAATTTAAAAGAAGAAGAAAAAAACATTTCTCTTCTTTGCCATAGGTGCTAAGAAACTTGGTTGCGACTCTGAAAGCAGCTATATAGAATATAGAACTAAGAATAGCTTACGAGATAATATAGTTTGCTTTTTACTCTTTTTCTCAAATCTATTAGGCGTCAATTAAACACTTAAGAAAAAAAAAAAAACACGATCCAAAAAGAATGAATTGAATTTTCTGCTATTTAATTTTGAAATTTTAGGAAAAATTTGTCATGTCGGAAAGTTCATCTCTTTTTTGGATTGATCTATTATATAGAAAATGAGATAAAGAATGTGTGATCTGGCAGTCGTATTTGTGCGTTTTTTTTTATATATATATATATTTTTTTTTTCATTTCGAAAAACAAATGTTAAATTATAGTAGATTATCGACGATTGTTGATAGCAACTATATTTGCTTTAAATATGACTGCACTGTGAAATTATTCTAGATAGATTATTCTACCTTTTAATATTGATATATATATATATATAATTACTAAATTTCATTTATTCAACCTTAACAATTTTTTTTAAGAGCTCAAGACAATTTTCGTAAAAAAAAAAAAAAATTTTCGACACCGCTAGAGAAAAATATTGTTCGGCCTCGTTTCAAGTTTTATCGTTGACATTGTTGTTGTTATTGTTGCTATACTACAAGCCGTTATTGTTGCTGATTCATGAAAAAAAAAAATCTTGATTTTATTTTCTATTTTGTTTTTTTGAAATAAGGTCAAAATTTTCACGAGGTGTATGTTTTTTTTTTGCTAATATTGAGCTGTCTTTAAATTAGCGATTTCAAAGATTATATTTATATATATGTATTTTCAATTCGATCTTCTCTTTTATGAAAGTAAAAAAAAATTTTCAATTGAAAAAAACAGGATACAATTTTTCAAATCAAACCATTTTTTTTCAATTCGATTTAACTCTCACACTAAAAGTAATTCACTCACATTCAAAAACAATATTCATTTTGATAAAAAAAATATTCACTAGTTCGAGAAAATATTTCATTCAATATTCAAAAAAATTCAAAAAGCGAAATGTTTAGAGCGAAACTTTTTTTTTTTTGTAGATTTAGATTCATTGCTGGATATTGTTAGTAATTGCGACTTCCATATTCATAAATAAAAAGAATTCTAACAGACTTTGAAATTTTGTCGTAACGCGCCCACCAGGTATTATATACTAATTTCCAGATTTTCATGTCCACAGAGACTAGAGAAAAAAAAGAAATTAAAAAAAAAAAAAAAAAGCACTTCTCTACACCGTCAAGTCCCAAGCGGCTTTCGCTTGCCTGTATTTCAAATAATTATTTAACTTTTTCTGTACCAATTCTTTATGATAATATATATTTTTGTTATTGGAAAAGTAGAATATAGTAATAAAATTAGTTAATATACAGGCCACGCGTTATTGTCACTTCAGGACCTGCGATTTATTTCCGTGTTTTATTTTATATATAACTTGTATTAATTAGTATTATTTAGTTAATTTTTCATTTTATAAAAAGAAAAAAAGCATATTTTTTTTTCTTTTTTGAAGTTTTTGTAATTTTAGAAAAATTGAAATTTTCAATAGGATCAATAAAGATGATATGATATCAAAATACTTTCAAAGTTGACGATTTTTATAAAATTAAACTGTTTCTATTTTTTTTTATCAATTAACACGGAAAACTTTTTTCAAATAGCTCTGATATGAAAAATCTTTTTTCTTCCTTGAATTTTCCTTCAATTAGCCTCGGTTTTTCAATGTATCACCTTAAATTCCGGAAAACATTTTCTTTATCAAATGCGGATGGATAAAACGTGAATGGAATTTTAATTTTTAATATCTATTCTAGATGTAAATGAAACCTAATTAGAAACATCGGGTTATATATATATTCGATAATTCAGAGATTTTTTTTTAGTTTTCTTTAAAACTTTGATATTTTTAAAAGAATGAAAATCAATATGATTTTATTTTTTTTCATTTTCTTTTTCTACTTCTCATCACAAATATTTGTCACAGGTAATTAAATTATTTAAATATTTTAAATAATATTTTTAATATAAAAAAAATATATTTTAATAATAAAAAATGACTTTTTTTTCCAGCAAAAGATATGGATCCAAAAATTGTTGGCGGTTCATTGGCAAAAGAAGGACAATTTCCATATCAAGTTTCACTTAGACGAAATAATAAACATTTTTGTGGTGGATCAATTGTTAATGATAATTGGATACTAACAGCGGCTCATTGTTTAACGGGGTGAGATTTTTTGAATTTTTAATTTGAATTTATTTTTGTAATATAATAATATTAAAATTTTCAAAAATAGAGGTCTATTTGATATTCCTAGATTCAATGACAGTAATATTGATGTTGTTGTTGGAACAAATACTTTAGACGAAGGAGGTGCTTTTTATAAATCAAAGAAAATTATACCACATCCTAATTATAGTTCTTTACTAATAAGACACGATATTGGACTCATTCAATTAGAGAAACCAATTGAATTCAATGATAAAATTAAATCTATTCCACTTCCTGTTGATGATTTTTCGAAATTTGGAAATTCTGCCGTTTTATCTGGATGGGGAACAACTTCTGTATTATTTTATTTTTTTACTATTTAAATAATTTTACTATTTTATTTATTAAGAAATCATAATTTGCATTTTAATTTATTTTTTTTTAAATTATAATAATTAATTTTCCATTCATCAATAATAATTGCGGAAATAAATTAATTAACTTGAGGAAATTAATTTCAGTATCCCGGAAAGCCGCCAAATGAACTGCAACATATTTTCCTAACTGTAATTCCACAGAAAGAATGTTTAAATACAAATTTTCGAATAACGAATAGCAATATTTGTACACTGAATAAAAAAGGGGAAGGTGCTTGTCACGTAAGTTTTTTGAGAAATTAAATTATTTAATTTGGAAATTGTCAACTCGAAAAATTAAAATCATTCAATTTAAACGAAATTTAATTTATTTCGATTAATTAAAATAATTTTGGAAATTTGATGCTCGAAAAATTAAAATTATTTAAACAAAATTTAATATATTTCGAATAATTTTCGAAATTTATTGTTTAAAATTTAATTTTACTTTTTTTTAATTTCGATTTAAAAGTAAAAAAAAAAAAAAAAACCCAAATGATTAAAATAGGAAAAATTTGAAATTTAACTCTTTTTTTTTTAGGGAGATTCTGGTGGTCCTTTGGTTGCTGATGATGTTCAAATTGGTATTGTTTCTTGGGGGAAACCTTGTGCCAAAGGTCAACCAGATGTTTTCACACGTGTATACAGTTACATGGACTGGATAAATAAACATATTAAATCCAACGAATCTTCAAACAGTGTCGATGACTAGTGAAATTTATAATATTATATTTTTAAACCGGAATGTATTTCACTTTAACAAATATATAACTTTCAGTCTGTAAATTATTTTTCAATTCAAATTTAATTTGTTAATCAATATTTTTTTTATTTATCCATTAATAAATAAAATAAATAAAAATAAATTTATTTATTTATTCAATAACATAATTTAGTAAATTATTTTATTCAATATAATCTGAAAATTTAATTTGAAACATTTTTAAAAATCACTTAAAGTCTTATGTGAAGTTAACTATAATGAAATTTTGTTTTTCGATTCCAATTAAAAATACCAATTAGCCTATTTCTTTTTTTGCATCAATACAAAATTTTTAAGTAACTATGTTTTCTTCAATTCTGGTAAATAATTAAATCATTTTTAATTAATATACATCTATTTGAAAGAAATAATAAAATTCTTTGTCAATAGATTTTGAAAAATATTCGAACTGACATTTTGACAAAAATTAAATTTCGTTGTAAAAATACATCATCAACCTGTAATAAAGGATCTTGTGGAAAAGATGATAAAAAAAAAGTGAAAAAATCCGGATCATGCAAAAAACCATATTCTGGTTGTTATGAAGAGAAGGAAAAAAAACCAAAACCAATACACGGAGGTTTTGAAAGTTGTCGTACCGGAGGTTGTGGACCAAATAAAAAATGAAATTACAATAAAAAGTAATTTTTTTTACAATTTTTAAATAATTATACGTGATAGTAGAAAAAATTTGAATCTTGGAATATGAAAAAAATTTCAGATAGGTAAATTTTACATTGAGTATTTTGTTTTATTATTATTTTTTTTTTTATATTGACTGGTACATGTAACACATAGGTATACATACATCACAATGATTTTAATTCAATAACGTGGATAAATTCCATCAATAAAATAAATATTAATTTTTTTTCAAGTTTTATTGACTAGTTAAAAACTTGGAAATAAAATTAAAAAATAATATTTCAAAGTGATGGAAAAAAATCCTTCGTTATATTTTATGACAGTGAAAATTCGTATTTTTAAACTTTTCTACAGTAAACATTAATTAAAATTTATATATTTATATATATATAATATATTATTTGTATATAGTTGACTAGCAGATAATAAAAAATGTTCTATTTTCTGTTCTTTTTTTTTTCTTCTGCGTTTGTACCTTCCGATTATGAGAAATGTTTTCAGTACAAAATATAAGTACATTTATAAAAAAGTACAACAATATAACAACAATTTAAAAATTAGATAATTAGTATAACTTCCTATTTTTAAATCAAAAAAATTTTGACATATTTACCCAATAGGAAATTATACTTATTATCAAAATTTGTAATTCGGGAATTAATCTCTTTAAAAAAAAAAAAAACTAATATAAATAATTTTTCCTAAGAGATTATAGATATTTTAAAATACTTTTAGGCTGTAAACTCCATTAAAAAAAAAAAAAAAAAAAAAAAAACTGGTAAAATTCCTTAATAGTATTGTACAACAACTATTTTTTCATCAAAATTGTAACAAGTTTTGTATGCAGATTATTAAAATTATGGACATTTTTAACTATGGTTAAATCACAGTGGTAACAAATACGATTTTTGTATTATTTTCTGTTTCTTTAAAAAATGATTTGGAAACATGTTCCAATAAAAAATTTGCATAATTTAAAAATTTCTTTAAAAATTTCATTTAAAAAGTTTTTTAATAATTTTTTTTTTTAAGGGCGCAATAAATAATTTGAGATAATTGTTAATTATTGTAAAAATTGAACTATTATATTAAAATGGGATATTCATTATTATTCTAAAAATATTTCAATTAGGAAAAATAAAAATTGTTTTTCTTTCACCATTCTTTGAATAATACTGCATTACTTAGATTCTATTTAAAATGTGTTTTATAGAATGATTATTTTATAACTAACTTTCAAGGAATGATTTGAATTAATTCATTATAATCGATTTAAAAAAAAAAGACATCAGACTCTTAAAGTTATGATACAGTTTGTATAATATATATATCGTATAGTTAAAGCTTATTGGAAGGATTTTTCACATAGATATTTTTTTTTATTAATTTTTTGTAGTGATTGAATAATTTAATTAATAATTAAATTGGTAATTGCAAAAAATTTCCAATATTATATTTTGTTGCAAATATATTTTTTGAAGTTCAAAAATTTGCAGTAAAAAAAAAAATTGACTTGCGTATAATTTTTTTCAATTACCAATTCAATTAATTTCATTATTATAAATAGAAAACTATTGTTCGTATTTTGAAAATATTTAAGATCGAAAAAGACATTTTCTGTCTTTTTGTGTATTTTAAAATCATAAACTTTCAAAAAAGAGTGTTTTAAATTCGTAAATGGTACGGTGTCTGTGATGTAATTCTTATTTTTAGAATTATTTTCTTTTCACATTCTAAGCATTAAAAAATATTAATTTAATCCTACGAAAAAATATTGGAAATTTAAATTGAGTGTAATTTAAAAAAATTCTTTCAAATTTTTTTTATAAAATAGAAAATTATAATTTTTGCTAATAATTTCTATTTGTGATATTTAAAAAAAAAAAGTGAAAGGAAAAATTTTAATTTTCTATTTATATATTAAAATTAAATTATAAGAAAATTAATATCCCCTTAATATTGCTTCATAGAAACACCAATAAGACAATTATGGATAAAAATTCCTTCCTTTTTTTTCTAGATTATATTATATAGAGAGAGACTAATTAAACATTTTCGTAGAACATTGTCAATTTTTAACGTCGATTTAATATCAAACTGTCGTTTCTCGAAAGATTTTTACTGACGAGTCCGCATGTTTTATGTGAATATAACGTGTTATAGTTGCTGTGCCATTGTTGAGAATTTCTTGAAGATTACCTTTGATAATTGAATCTGAATTATTTTCAGACTGAATCTCCATGTGATTATTCTCCACCATATCTGCATCAGGAATTAAATTTTTTTTTGTAAAAAAAAGTCATTTTATTTTTATTTTTCAAAGTAGACCAAAAAATTTTCAATTATATGTTTTTTTAAAAAAAATTTAAAAATTACATTTTTGGAAAATATTCATTGATATGATTAAAAAAAAATACTTTTTCTAAAATTATTTCAATTTTTAATTTTCAGGTCTACTCCATCATATAAGAAATATAAAAATAAAAATTTTAAACATTCCAAAAAATTCAAAATGCAAAAATCTCATGCAGTCTATATATATGTGGCAAGAATTTATATATGAAAAGAAAATTAGAAAATAAAGCTAAATAAATAATTACCTGATGCAAAAAGATATTAAAAAACCAATACACATTCCAATAAATTTTAAAAATTGTCAGGAAATAAAACCGCGCAAAATTTTTTCATTATATCCCAAATTTCAAAATAATAAAAATTTTCACTCGTCGAATTCTAAAATTCTAAATAAGCATTGTAAGAAAAATTTTCTAATAAACAAACTAAAGGTGACAAATAAAAAAAGCAAAAATTTCTACAAAATGTGTGTGTTTATATTTACAAATAATAAATTTTTTTTAGCAACTATTAAACAATTATATTTACACATATTCTAATAACAAACTAATTAAACTATAGTTTTATAACAATCTTCATTGACTAGTAAAACAAATAGCTAGTCAAAAAATTATTCATTATTCTATCTAAAAATTAAATAAAATAAGCGACATAATCTTGTCATATTTATCGAATTATTTACATTCTTATATTTAAGAGGTAGGATTAGTTGTACTGTGAGCAATTATTATTACCTAGGACTCTTTAAAAAAAAAAATAATTATAGATTCTCAAAATTCATTTTTCTAAAAAGCCTTTCTTATTAATATGAACTTTATTTTTTAATTAAATAATTTAAAAAATTAAGTTTTCTCTAATAATTCTCTTTCATTGTCGTACTTAAATATTGTCGATATATTAAAATATAATTAAGCTTGCAAATAATTTATTTTAAAAAAATTAAAATTTTTGTAAAATAAATAACAGGTATAAGCGTATTGTTTAAAAAAGTGTTCTTTTTTTTTAATTCAAAAAAAAGTGTTCTTTTTTTTAATTTAAAAAAAAGATCATCAGACAGTTGTTTTTTTTTTTGTAAATTTTTCTCTTATTTAAAAAAATAATTTTTTTTTTATTTAAATAAATAAGATGTTTCAAAATTTAAAAAAATTAATTTTTATGCAATTTCTTATTCAAGGCACTACGAATTTGTAAAGTTTTCTCAATTTTAAATAAGATGATAAAATTTGAAATATTTCAATTTAAAAATTTTTCATTTTAAATTGATTTTGTTTTTTCCTCTCATTCTTATATTACAATCTAGAATAATTCAATACAATTACATAAATGCAATATTTATACACTCCTTGAATACTGATACATTCCTTTTCCTATAAAAAATTTTATTTCTTTTTTTTAAGATTTCATTTTTAAGCCACTGTGATAAAATAATGAAATAAAATATATATATATATTGTAATTTTATCACTCTAAATTGGCAATAATAATTGATTGTAAATAAATTATTTATGATTACTTTGGCAGTTTGCTTTTTAAATTATATATAACTATTTTTTTACATTACAACATATAATTAAATATATATATATATATGTAAAAACTAGATTTTTTCACACTCGCATAATCACTTACACCTAAATTAATAACGAGCAACGATAAAATTTATACAAATTTTTCAAGTGGTATTTATAACTTGTAAATGTATAGATAAATATTTTTTTTTAAATATTTACACGAACACTGCGATCAAATTTGAGTAAAATTTTTTTTCACAGTTTAAAAAAGAATTTAAAGAATCTCAAAAAATACGTATTTACGTATAAATTTTAAAGCAATGATACTTTAAGGATGATTTTATTTTAAAATTTCTTTGAAGAAAAAAAAAACAGTATTATTAAAATATTAACAAATAGTTAATTAAATTATTAATTTGTTAATTTAATTAATTATTATTGAAAAAGTATTCAGCAGCCAAAGACAATTAAGTATTTGTAGAATTTTAACGCTACAGTTACTTATTTAATGAAAATGATTATTCAAAAAAAAAAAAAATAATTATCAGTCAAATTTTAATTGGCAGTTCTGATCTCTTTAATGAGATCAAGTTAAGGCACATTTAACTATAATTAATACTATTTAAAATTGTACGGAAACATCCATGAGATCTATACTTAAAAAAAAAACACAAACTATTTCATAATTTAAAGGTTTCGTTTGATATAAATATTTTTTTTTATAAAATAAATAATACCTAATCGTCTGATAAGAACAAATACTTTACAGAAAATTAGGAAAATAAAAAAAAAACAAAACAAAAAAGTGCTCGAATTTCAATTTAAAATTTATCTCGAAAAATTAAAATTAATTTAAAAGTTATGTATTAAATTTTCAATTAATGGACTTGGTAGCTTGAATTTTAAATGTAATTTAAAAATTTCATTTGACTTAATAATAATAATATTATTCCGAATAAAAGTAGAAAAATTATTTTCTAATATAATTTGACAAAAAAAGTTATTAAATTACACTAATTATAACTAATTGCAAAAAATAACTGTTAATTTTTAAAAATTTCCAAACTACACAGAAAACCATTTTTCAGGAAAAAAAATTAATTTTAAACCTACAGATTCTTATTTCTAATATAATATACTTAAATTTTTTTTATAAAACAATCATCCGAAAGAAAAGCGGAAATAAATAATTTAAGTAGAATAATAGAATATAATAAGAATATTACTACCAAGACCATCTACTAAAAAAAAATAAGTGAAAGAAATCAAAGCCTGGGATCACAGTAAGTATACCTTTTTTTTCTTGAAAATAGGTGAAAAGGTTAAATAGTTAATTAATTAGAAAATAGGTGATAAAAAGGTAATAATCTGTGATCCCTACTAAAAAAAAAGTATTCTAGAATTTTTTAAAAATTGTGTATAAAAAATAATTCCACGTTTTAAAAAAAAAATCCAAGTTTAAGAAAAGGGAAATTATTTGATTCAAATAATTATTTAATTAAATAAATATTTACTTTATCACTTTTTTATTATTTGAAAAAAAAATTGTATTTTATTGAAATACAATTTATTCATTGCAAATAATAATTGTTACAAATAAATATTTATTTAATAATAAATAATCGATTATTTTGGCTAGTAATCGATTTGAATCAAAAATAAATTTTTTCTTTTCAATATCAAAATTAATTTACGAAATAACACAACAACGTTTTCGTTCTTTCTCAATGAAAATCTCTCTTCTGTTTTTGTCATTTATCCTTTTTGAATTTTTCTTCGATTTAAATTTTCTTGATTGATCACTTGAATCATGACCGGTATTTAAAATTTCAATTTCTCTCTCTGAATTCTCACAAATCTTTTGTCTTGTTCGTTTTCGTTTTACTCGTCTCGTTTGTTCAACGACCTCCGTCTCCTCTAATGGAAGTACATTATTTTGATCGTTACCATTCTCAATATGCGTTGGCTTATCAGTCTGCGTTGATTTATCAATTTTAATCTTCTTTTTATGAGATTCATCGTCATTAATAGTGAAATTATTAATTTCCGAGACAAGATTATCATTTAATTGTTTTTCATTTAAAGAATCATCGATAGTTGTCGATTTATTTCTATTTTCAACATTGTCAATGTAACAACTTTCATTTGATACCATATTACTGGCGTTAATAATTTTAATTTGTGGAATTTCACGATTTCCATTATTATTAGTATTATTATTATTATTATTATTATTATTATTATTATTATTATTGTTGTTTCCAATTTCAAAAACGGCACTCGATTGAGAAGAAATATTGTCATATGAATGAAATCCATGATCACTGTCATTTTCAAAATTTTTTCTATTCTTTTGCCAAGAAACGTCACTATTACTTCGATTTCTTCGTAAATTATTTATTAATTCAATTTCATGTTCAGAATCCATTGATTCTTTTATCACATTCATGGCAATTTCTTCTAATTTTGATTTAAGTAGAGCTGGCGATACTGTACGATTTGATTGTTGATTTATTGTTGATTTTTCCATTGATTCTAATTCTAATAAATTTGGTGTATATCCAGAAGCGGCCATTGTATTAGGACTTGGACTTTCCATACTATCTGGTGTATAAGGATCATGCTTAATAGGTGTTGCGTGCAAAAAATTAGACGAGCGATCGGTGGCGGGTGTTTTAGCACAACTAATACGGCTAGCATCAGGCAACATGGATACTAAATCCAAATAATTGTCTGGCACTCGAAAGCAAAATTGAGCAATATTTTTTAAGTTGCAGCAGTTTATCATACCTGCGTTCAATGCGAGATTAACCTTCAGGTAGACTGGCTGCAAAAAGGGAAACAAAAAAATGCACGATGGAAATTTATAAATAATTAACGAGAAACATAAATTTCAAAAAAAACAAAAAAAACAACAAAGGAATATTTTTTTTTTAGTTTTGTTGTTACTTTGGAAGTTTCTAATATAATACCTAATACAAAGGAGGTATAATTACTCTGTCTTTAGTCAGTTTTACTCAAAAATCATACTTCAAAAGGGTTTTTATTACGTTTTAGTTTTTTTTTTTTTTTTTAGTATAACAACTTCAATATATTAATGGGATTTTACTTGTGCTTTCAGAGTCTAGCCTATCGTTATCAAGAATAATTAAATTCAATATCATGCGGGTTTCTCAAATTTTTAAAATTTTATTTAATTTTTAATTTACAAAAAAAAATTGTTAAATTTTATTAAAAATAATTTTTAATTATTGATTTGCGTTAAAACAAAAAAAGAGCTTTTAATTTTTTTTCATTAAAAAAAAGTACTAAAATCTTGCAAAACTAAAAAACAAACTCCCTAAAATAATAATGAAAATGTATACATAAAAGGTGTCTAAATTTTTTTTTAAAGTCCCGATTACGTAAAAACAGTTTCTAAATTTAAGTGGCTGCAAAAGCGCGCTTTGAAAATTTATAAATGTAAATATTGAATATCAGATTGAGAAAAGTCGTTACTTAACGGTATATTAATAGAAACGAGAATATGTCATGAAAATTGGTTATTCCATGATAACGATAGGAAAGAAAAAAGAGAAGGTAAAAATCAAGATCAATACAATTTTTTTTTTTTTTGAAGAGGTAATAAAAATACAACACTACATTGAGCAAGCGCGAATATTATATACGATGATTCGTGAACTTATATAAAAAGGAAAAAATGGAAACATGAAAAACGAGGGTAAATCAAGACATGAATATAGACAGAGAAGTTTATAGATAGGTACCTTAGTGTTTAGATATTCATTCGAAACTCCAGAAAAACAGGCTGCACCATAATCATTAAACAATATGAATCATCAGAATGAGAATCAAGAAATAATATCTAAGTTTATCATCCCAGTAGTAGAAGTTAATATAATAATAATAAAACCCTTTTTTAAAAAAAAAATCAATACATTTTTTATTTACTATTTAAAAAAAAAAAGAAAAATAAATTAAACTGAAATTAAATAATAAATAAAAATATTATTTTATTTGAGAAAAATAGAATCTGCCGTTGATCACTGATAATATTCAATTAAATCAAGGAAAATTCTTAACATACCTTATGATCCCCCATACATTTTGTTGGACCTACTATTCCATATTCCACATCATTTGGTTGATTCTGAATTCCAAAACAAAAAAAGTTTTTAAGAATCTTTGATTTACCTTTCTTCTTTCTTTTTTGAGAGAAATGAAAGCGCAAAATTTTTAATTACATTTTGAACTAGTTGTTTGGCAGTGGAACTCAATAAAATTCGATCACACCAGGCCGGTACTCTTGTTTGCATGTAATTTGTTCCTTCTTGAATGTCCTCCTCAAATGGATAGCTTGGAATGAATTTTATCGGGAATTCAAAGAGTCTTCCATTAAAATCATTTAATTCTTTATCATATTCCCTTAGCTGTAATTTCCAAATGGAAAAATTCATCAATAATTTTATAATTAAAGTTCTTATAAATAAAACTTTTGAAATTGTTTTACACTTACCCACTGACCCTCATTTTCGATAAAAACATTTTGATGTTTGTAATGAGAAAATTCCTTTTTTCCCAATGTTAAAACAACATCGTCGTCGTTATTTCGAAATTGCATTTTTGAGATGCTGCCTTTAGCAGACGTTTTACTTTCTTGTGTATCTTCCGTAAGTTTCTGAAAATTAATAAAAAAAAAGACAATTAATATTTTTATCATCTTGTCGATAATCAAAATAATCAAATTAATAATTTAAATATTTAATTTAAATAATAGACCTTATATAAAAATATTTATCATCAAAATAAATTTGTTTTAAATATTTTTTTTTTTAATTCAGAAAATCTATCAAAAAAAAAATTAAATAATGTAAATGAATTCTAAATACTATTTTTAAAAAAAGATAAATTATTTTCTATACCTTTATAACGCCAGCAGTGTCAGTTCTAAAATTAAAATCACCAAATACAAAGTAAGGTGCGTTTGGATACTGATCATTATGAAACCTTTCTAGAGTATGTTCCAGGGCTCTTCTTCGAGTTTTACTATAAACTGATGGAAACTGCAAAATATTAATAAAATATAATTAACAATATAATTATTATTAATAATCTAATAAATAATAATTATTAAGAATAATTAAATGAAAATAAATTGAATGAAGAAAAAATTTAAAAAAAATTATAAATAAAAAAAAAAATAGAAAAAAAAAATTGTATGAATAATTACAGTTTCCATGGCGATAAAATTACTCGCATCATGAAACAAATGTATATTAATCATGTCAAAAATAGTTCCACTGATGCTCCATCTTGTTCGTAAAAATCCTTTTCTGGACCATTTGCATTCTGGAAAGAAATCCTGTGGGAATTTCGCTTTTTCCTTAGTCGATACTGTTTCAATATTTCCCGAGTGTACTTCTTTTCCATTAACTGGCAAAAATTCACCATCTAAAACCAAACGAAAATATTTTTTTTTTTTAAATTGTAATAATTAACAATTATTATTATCTACAAAATATTATATGATAAAATTAATTTTTACCTTTAAAATCCCATAGAAAAACATCTTTCAATGAATCGTGGACAAAATAAAAATTTCCAAGAGCCTATAAACCAAAGGAATAAAATATTCAATTTTTAATATTCATATTTAATTTCTATAATTAATTTATTACCGTGAAATGTTCAGGCGACGAAAAATCCTCGTCGAGATAAACACGAACTTTATCAAATAGCCTTAATTCTTCGGAAGACATTAATAACCTTTCAAAATAGAGATTAATAATAAATAATTATATATTGTATATAATTGTATTATTATTAAAAATATAGAAAAATCTTATATAATAAATATATAGAAAAATATATATAATAAAAATAGCAAAGTAAAAAAAGGTTTATAAAAAAAAAAAATTTTGACTTGGAAAATTACTCAAGGTAGATTATTAAATATCGAAAAAATTTCATTTTTTTTTTTTTTTTTTTTCACTGTCATGTTTCTTTTGCGCTATACACATTTATCGGTTTTATTCAGTGCGTATCCTTTGAAGTAACTCACTCAAGCATAGCTTGTTAGATAATCTATTCTTATCTTTTTTCAACCTTTATTAAATTATATTGAATTAGACATGTGCTGATAATCTAATACCATCTTTATTTTGTAATAAACAAACAAAAAAATGTAGTTAAAAAGGTTAATTGAATTTTTTTTCATTTTAAGATATTTATTTTTTCAAATTTTCTTAAAAATTTATTAAATATTAAAAAAAAAATTGATTTTCTTTTATTTTGTTAAAATTCTTTGTACCAAAAACGGTTTTTTTTTCTTTTTGTGAATCAATTTCAAAAGTGTAATTTTTTTCCACTTGCAAATCTTATGTACGTTAATTTAATATCGACTAAGACGTTTAGTAGAAGCCTTAAGAGAAAACTAGTTTTACAGGTTTAATATTATATTATTAACTCTATATTCATAAATTATTGTGTGATTTACATAAAAATAAAATTTTTTTTTTATCACATTTTTGGCTTATTTTATTTTATTTTTTTTCGCTTTAACGAAGAATAAAACCTCTAAATGAAATTTGTTTTTAGAACAGGATTCGTAACAGTTTGTTAATTATCTATTCATGAAAGTTTCAGACAGAAAGAAAGAGAGAGACGAATATAACAAAATTGGGTCAAACTGCACATGAACAAGATATCAAAACCACCGAATCGTAAATTTAATTTCAATTGTACAAACTGTTTCAAACAGCAGCATTTCAATAACAATTTTAAATCAATTTGCCAAGTTAACTTTTATATTTATACTATTTTACATGAATTTTTTTTTTATATACATTTCATCTCTATTTGAGAAATTTTCCAAATGATGAAAGAAAAATTAAAAATTTATAACATACCTAACAAATTCTTCTACATGTCTCATACTTTGTTCATAATTTTTTCCACCGACTTCTTGACAATGAAGAGCTATGAATTTTGGATCTAGTCGTGTTATTGTCTATAAGAGAATTAAATTATAATAATATTTTTTTTAAATAATAAATTAATTTTTTTTCTATAATATAATACAATAAATTATAACTAATATAATGATAGAAAATATAATTTCTATACTTACGGATAAAAATTCTTCCGTCCATATTTTCAGCATATTTTTTGGCTGAAAATTAAAATTTTATTAAATAATTAAATTAAAAATATAAAAAAATTTCAATATGTATAAATTGTTAGATAAAAATTAATTAATAATTATTCTAGCATTATAAATATTTTAATAATTGAAAAATGTGGAAATTAAAAATTTATAAGATATAAAAAGAAAATTGTTTTCGCAACTAATGATGCACTTTTTGCATTTAAAAAATAAATTCAATTACGAAACTTTTTAATAGAAAATAAATATTGAAATTTTATAAATATTTTTCATTCTAGAAACGTCATTTAAAAATTTCTAAAGTATATTTTTGTTGAAATGGACAAAGTTTATTTTTGTCGATCTTTCATGCGTAAATGTGAGTTTGGTCCGAAAAGAGATATGTTACCTATATATATATATATATATATATATATATATATATATATATGTATTTATATACGAACGTGTGAAAACCACAGGTGTTTCTGTATCATTTATTTTCCGACAGTTGAGCTTAGTAAAATTTAAATTAACATTAAAATGACAATAAAAGATAATGGAAACTAAAAAAATAATCGTTGACAAAATTTAATAAAAAAAAATCACCCTACTAAATATTTAATTTTAAAATTATTTTATAATATTTTCCTAATTTCTTTTATGATAATTTCATTAATTTTTAATAAAATTATTTTAATATTTTCATTTAATTATAATTTATAAAAAAAAACAATAAATAACATGCATAATTGATAAATAGACCGTAATTAATTAATTTTCATATACACGATATATTAAATAAAATATTTTATGACAGAAGAAGGAAAATTTTTCATTGAAATAACAAGTCAAGGAATTATTTTGTAAAAAATTCTTATTTCACGAACAAACAAAAATTATCTTTAAAGTGTGCGATATTAATGATAAGGTGATTCAAAAAAAAAAAAAATTTAAGATATATCTAAAAAAAACTGCATTTTTTTCTATTTCTTTAATTTTAAAAAATATAAAATTTAAAAAAACTACTATGGAAAAAAAGTTGAAATTTCTAAAATATAAAAAAATTCTCTAATTTTTTTTCAATCTATTAAGCATAAATATTTCAAAAATAAGAATTTATAAAATCGTTAATTAAGAAAATAATTATATGACAACATAAACACACTAATATTATGACCTTTTCATTAAAAGATAACAAGAATTTCTAAACTGTCAACATATATATATTTATATAAGAAAAAGTGAAATATTAAATAAATATTCTTCATTTGCAAATTATCGTGAAAAAAAATTCTCTATTTTTTTCAACAATGAAAAGTTTCTTTTCAACTGAAACTCATTTAAAAAAGACCGGCGTAAGTTTTAATATCAAATCGTTTCGAACCGGTTTCGATCGAGTTCGTACGCACTCGATTGTCGTTCAAAATTCATTCATGAATAGCGCGCCGACTTGAAAAAAAAATACCTATAATCAAATAATAAAAAAACATCAATTATAGATACATTTCAACAAAAATATAAACTTGTAACTCAAAAATACTACAAATTCAAAAGAAAACTAACCAAAAAAGCGATCGATAAAAACAAGAAATTATAAATAAAGACTAATTATTGTAAATTAAATTAATTATTTTTTATTTTCACAATAAAATCAGTACTTACCTCTTCAAAAATACTGCCGACATTGGCGGTAATAAGAACGACAGGAAGGCCCGCCATTCTTGTTAAATTTTCTTTTCTTTTTTTTTCAAATTTCCAATAAAGAAAAGCGCCTGTCAATTTATATCCTTTTTTGTAATGATCTTAAAAGATTCACACAGTTTTCGTTGATATATAAATAATTTGTCGCACGCTTTTTGACACTAACACTCAAGTATTAGAAGTGTAACACCAACAGGGGGATAAGTATACACCAATTTTACGAACACAAACTAAGTAAGAAAATTACGTCCCTTGGCAGTACAACAATGAGGGTCAGAGACAATTAATTTAACCCCCGTGCCGAAAATTGGCCACGGTCGTGATCCGCACCTTGCTGGCATCTAACCGTGTACTGCAAATACACACATTAACCAAATAATACAAGTCGCTGATCGTTCGGCGTACGAGAAAAGTTGTATGTGGTAAATATATCCCTCTATCGGTTCGAGTGAAACCACGCCTACTGAAGACGTCAATAGGCAGTGCCGTAATTCTCAGATTACGCATGGGTATACGATTTTCCCAAGGCCCTATCTATTTCAATGTATATATGTTAGTATATATACATTCGCGAAAACACACATTATAAACAATAAATCAACTTCTTCATTCAACATAGTTAAAATATATCCCAAAAAATTGTTTCAAAGTTGCGCAAAAAAAAAAAAATTACTAATTTTCTTTTCCTTTTTTTAGTACTTAATTAATCAAAGAAAAATAATTAAATAAATGCATTTTTAAATAATTTTGCAATAAATTTAAAAATTACAAAAATTCATATTATTTTTCTTTGATTTCGACTATTTTCAAATTTTTCTTTATTAATAATTTTAATGTAAAATAATTGTTCTTATCTGTGTCAGAGACAAATTTTCCAATTTTTTACACTTTTTCAAAATTTTTATATATGTCCTCATATATTACGGCACTGCAATTTATGCGCGCGCTGAATTTTGTTCGTCGCTGGTACAGAAAATCAAGAGTAAAAAATCATGAGCATTAAAGTTCATTGCTGGTAAAATTCGACGCTGACAGAGGTATGACTGTATAGTGATAGTAATTGTTAAAAAAAATTAATCTGTCTGAGATTCATTTTTATCTGAACCTTTAGAACTGAGAAAAAAAAATTCGAATATAAGTGTTTTGTATTTAAATTAAAAAAAAAAATTTTTTTGTATAGATCTCATGAATAAAGTACAATATTTGTATATAGGGAAATTTTTGTTCGACAAAAATATTCATCTAAGAGGAAATCCTCTACTTTTTTGAGAGGAATCTGAATTTGCACATGCGCAAACTATGACGTCACAATTATGGCGTCAGTTGTAAACATTGCGAATAGTGAAAATGATCATAAATCTCATTGTTTTATTTTTTGTAAATAGTGTGAGAAAACGGAAAATTTTCTTTTGAGTATCTTGAAAGAATTACAATTTGAAGGAGATTTTAAAGTTAAATAAATCTTTAATTTAATTTATATTGCAAGTGTACGTTTTTATTTTTCTGCAAAACAAAAACATAACCTAAATTTAGATGACATTTGTACTTGACAGGACAATATTTTGATCGAGAGGTAAAGATGCAAAAAATGATAAGAATCATCTCAAAGAATTAAGTGGATGATTAAAATATTAATTGTAATTATTATAATATAATATAATATATAATATAATAAAATTATAATCTCAGACAAAATACAAGAAATAAAAAAATGGTGAATTGAAAAAGAATCAAGACATTTGAATGAATAATTTATTAAAATAATTAATTACCTTGATAATTTTTCTATTTTAATTTTTTAAATATCCATAATGTATATAATATATATCTAAGACGCTTATAACATAAACGAATCGTTTTCTTTATATATATATCTATAATTAAATAAATTTATCGTGAGAAAGATCCATTGTTCACACACAGTTGTTATATTGTTGCATAAGAATATTTAACGTACACAATAATTACAGAAAATTATACTGTCAGAGAAAAGTGCTCCTCATTTGGAGAATATTGTTCATGCAGGATATTATTCATCAAAGAGATGAAAAAAACATAAATATTCATGAAATAAAAGAAAAAAAAAACTATTTGTTAATATATATTAAGAAAAAAAAAAAAAAAAAAAAAGTTTCCTAATAGTTCAATTAATTTATATCTCAACATTTTTTTCGCGTATACGATATCCATTAATAGCATTTCATTAAAGGAATTTAAATGCCTCGTTAAAATGTATTTTATTACCATTTCGATATATAGGTACGTTACAAAGTTATAATGCTTATTGTTCAGTACATTTGCATGAAAATAAAAGGTTCATAAAAACTTTTTACGTTATACTATATTTAAGATTACATAATTATCTGTTAAGATAATTTAATAAAAAAAAATGAATTTTTAATATTTTACGAGGAATTATTATTTTAAAAAATATTAATTTGCGTCAAAATAAATTAGATTTTGAAATTTTAATTTTTTTTTATATCTGCCTTTTATTGTTCTTTGTCTTTTAGAAGAATTTTTTTTCTAAATTAATGTATACGTTTTTAAGACAATTTACATAATTATATTTTTTTTTTTCTTGGTTTTTAAGAGAATTTTTCTGAAAATTGTCAACAAAAGGAAAACGCTCCTGCACTTGTCAATTTATAAAGGTCGGCGCAGACGCAACTCGAGGAAATATTGGTTTCAGTTAATCTTGAGGTCGGTGACATGAACAGGAAATTTTCTAGACGGATGTTGAATTTCATCATGTTTTTGTGTTAAAATAGAACTCGTTAAGGTCGCATTAAATTTGTCAAAAAAATTACGTCAATGCACTGGAAATTACCTTCTTTAGGTAACGTATTTTATTGTTTATTTTCATTTTAAAATGTCATCTGTCTAAAAGAGCAAGTTCCTCGAGTTTGCGTCGTCTGCTTAAAAAAATGACAGCTAGAAAATATTTATTATTTTAACAAATTTTTATTCCCTACCACGATTAATATTATTTTTTGTTTACAATTGTTTTTATACCAAAATATAAAATTTAACAAAAGAAAAACAATTTTCTCTTTTATCAAATTTTACTATTATTTATGATTTTTTATTAACAAAAAGAGAAGTTTATGAAAATATTTTTTATTTGAATTTAATAAAAAAAAAATTTCCTGGTATAGTATAATCAATACTTTTTCAGAAAAGATATAAAAAGTAGCTTCTTGGAATAATTATCAATTTATGATTTCTACAGAGAAAATTTCTTTTCGATTATTTTAAGCTATTTAAAGATTCAGAAATCAAGGAATTTATAAATATTTTCATTTATTATTGTTACGACAATATTGTATAATTTACGTCAATATTCTTCAAAACCTTTGCTCTGATTTGTCTTTTTGAAAATATTCATAGTCACGTTTTATATTATTAGTTTTGATTATGATCAGAATATCGATAAGGAATATTAGAAAACATCTTTCATAATGAATAAGAATCGAATTGTTAGAAAATTTATACTAATTGACAAAAAAAATGCACAATGTAAAATTCACGGATATGAAACTTCAGCATATTATAATTTAACTTAAATTTTTTTTCAAAAAAGCTTATTTAGCAAGTTTTTGAAACCAGTTAATCATAACAAATTTTTGAAATAAGAAACCGTTTCCTTTTTTTTCAGCTATTTAAAAATGACGAGATACACATTACTAGCTTTTGTTTTGCTGTCTTTATCGGCCTTCGCGAACACTGAAGACATCCTAATGTCTCAAGTGTTCGTCATTCCAATTTCCCCTGATATTTTTGGTTGGAATATGGAAGGTTAGTTTTTTTAAATGCTATTATATAATTATAATAATAGAAAAATAAAAATATATAATTTCATTTTCTATTGTCCACAATCAGGTTTTTATACACGACGATTTTCTTATCAATCATCACTATTAAATTCACCGGATTTACCGTCGTGGATTCATTACGTTTATAGCGAAAGAGCTCGACAAGGATATTTATATGGAGTTCCCCCGAGAAATCAGGAAGACTTTAAAGTAAACAAAAAAAAAATAATAATTTCTTTCGCTAAGTAAACAATATAAATCACTTTGGATAAATAATAAAAATTAATTGAAATTCCAGTTGGAAATCGTTGGCTTGGATAAAAAAACATACGAGACAAAAAACAAGATTCTAGATTTGAAAATCATTGATAATGAAAATCTAACGAAATATGAAATACAATTGAAAATAGACAATCTAAATGTGGAAGATATGTTAGATTCAAAAAGAATAGATGAACTTCTTGATGTATTCAGGTCAGTATTGAAATTAATTTTTTTTTTCAACTAACCTTTAGTAAACGGAAAAAAAAAATAATTTCAGGAAGAAACTTTGGAAAGAAGCCATAGATTTACAGCTGACTTTTTTGGCATCGGCAGTCGAACTTGGTGCTCGATTGCCACTTCAACCTGGTGAAGGCGAAGGGTAAGATGAAAAATAAATAAATCTCTTTTGATCAAGAGCAAAATGAAAGAAAATTTCTTTTCCTTTTTTTAAATTAATATTTTAATTATTTTTGTCATATTAATCATTTTTTTTTTTTTCTAAAAATGTTATAAAAAAAATCAATGTTTGTGCTTCTTTTGATTTGACATTGGTATTATCAATCGTGTACAGGAAAGCAAAACATGACGCACTTCCTGCAAATTTAAAAAAAAAAAAGGAAAAAAAAACTAATCGCTGACCTTCCATATAGCGTAATTTTTATCAAAAAATTATTTTATAATAATAATCATCGACAAAATAGTATTTAATCATATTATCTTGTAAGGACATTTTTTTATATTATTGTGATAAAAAGTATATTAGTAACATATATATTTTTTTTCATAATAAGTATTGAGTTATTAATCAGTCGATTAAGATTCATTAAGTTGACTTTGAATCAAAGTATATTTAATTGATAAGAAAAAGGCTTATCTCTTTTAAATTAGAGGCGCTAAAATTAATGCTAAACTGACGTTTGTCATGAGTACGCCTGTACTCGTCTCGCACATAATAATAAAATTTAAAAAACTATTCTATATTTGGGAAATTAATTAATAATCAGCATTAAATATTAAAAAATAATTTTTCAATTTAAAAAATTCTTTTTCGAATTATGATTCAATGGATTTGAATTCAGTCTTAATGTTATGTGATAATGAACGAATTATTTTTTTTTTAACTGATTCGGTCTTAATTAGAAACCGTGGGATCCTTGGAAGTGATGACGCACGTGTCTCGAGAATAATAATTGACTTTTCTATAGTCTTCCAAGGAATTTTTGCGAGGGGAATGAATGAATGAATGACTTGACACACGTGAATTCCAACATGTTGCGCTTTACAAAGCATATTTCAAATAAAGAAATAATGAATGCAATAAAAATTGAATTTTTAAAAGAAAATGTTTATCATTTTTTTTTTTTTTCTAGAGTTGTCCTGAGACTCGGTAGTTCTACACCTTTCTCTAATGATCTTCAACTTTTGGAAAATGAAGTGAAACCACTTCGAAAAAAATCATCATGCCCAAGGGATTATAAAAGAACGAGTGTGGAAACACATTTTAGAAGTGCGGATTTTATTCTGGATTGGTGTACATTTAGATTGGTTTGTAAAATATAAATATACAAAAAAAAAAAAATTAGATTATACAATTTTTTTTTTTTTTTTAGATTGAAGAAAGTCACGATTTACATCAAGAGAGTGCAAGACGAGGACCAAGTATGAATGTAATTGGAAGACCACAATCGAATTTAGCGGAAAATTCCGAATGGCGCTGGACCCAACCGACAAAATCTGGTCTTCCAATTCGAAGTTATTTCAAAGAAATAGTTACAACAATTTTTATACCTGGAATTCTACTTCTAATTCTATTAGGACTCTTGAGCACAGCCTTATGTCTTCATCATGAAAAATTGTAAGTTTCAACAATTCAAAAGAAATATTTTCCAATTTTCTGTTTATATTTAGTATCGATAATAATATATATTACTAAAACAATAGAAAAACGTCATTATTACAAAATCAAAAGTTTACAATTTATGATAGACAAGTTAGATTATAAGAAATCAGTCAACTATCGCGCGAGGGAAAGACAAATCGATTGTTCGATATGAGTTTGGTTTTAGACGTCATTCGAAACACCCACGTGTATCCTTATATATTCATTTATCGTTTCCGCGATGAGCAACTAATAAATTATAACACAAAATTTTTTTTTCTTTTTTTTTTTTTTTTGAAAGAAATCAATTTCCACATTTATATTGCAAAATATTTTAAAGGCCATTAATGATAACTCAATGAGTGGTATAAATTAAATTTTCCTAGGTCAACTTTTTAATAACTGTAAATTGTTTTGTTACGTCAAAAAATTATCTATCCAATACGTCAATTCATGACGACGTAATATTAATACGTAACGTCTATTTCTAAATATTAAAAAAACGCCTTGTCTGAATTTTTGGCAAAAATTATTATCAATAATTTTAAACAAAATTCAAAGACAGAATAAATATCAAATTTAATATAAGTAGAGTAAAAAGTAAATTTTGGTATAGCCCTTTAATGAATTGAATAATAATAATAATAATGACGAAAGGAGCAAAATCTTGTTAATTAGAAGTCGACCGTGACACGTCGGATCTTTAACATATAAGCGAGTTACGTCACTGATAATTCACGTCACACGAATGGAAAACTAGTGACCGGTAAACCGTTGTTTGATCATAAAGAAACGGTGATCGCCTCGCGGTCACTTACCCGAGAGAATGAGAAAGAGAGAGATATGAGTGTGTGTATATATGTCGTTACTACATGGGCATATTAACTAATATGTCTACAAAGGTACTCGTTATGAGTAATAATGTATATATACATATATGTGATTAATTTTTGTAGTATGCGGAATATATACACAAACGCATTTCTCTTTTGAGGCGTTAATTTATTTATTAAAATAATAAAGTGTGAAAACACTCGTAATGATCAAAGCGCCAATTACTTTATTATCAAGCCGCTTAACTATATGAACACGCATTTCATTGGACAATTAACTATGATTAAATTATCTGCACTATGATGATCACGGATGCTTAAGGGTCATTTATTTAAGACCAAGCCAATTTGCCTTGGATTCAATATTATTAATCCATTCAATTATTAAGTGACAAAAATTTATTACTCCATTATTTCATATTAGTTTTCATAATTTAATTAATTAAATGTTTTCAATTTTTTCTATGGGATAAATTATTAATTTAATTTAATTTAATTATTTAATTAAATTAATATAATAAAATTAGAATTTTTTAAAAATGAATTAAGTATAATTCTTTTAAATATATATTAATATAATTAAAAATCAATGTGTTTTCATTAATTTGGATTTTAGAAGTGTATTGAAGGAAAAAAAAATGTTAAAATAATGAAATATTGCAAATTTCATTAACAATCATTGATACTGAATATAATGCCTTTCAAGGATGTATACATATACAGCTAGATATAGAGACTTTTAGAAATATAGCCAAACGATCTACGCACGCGACTAATAATATCCTTATCGCGTTTATGATAATTTATGCAATGAACAGCACGTCTCGCACACACAATTGCGACGATTTCTAAAAGCACGTATAGTTATGTATTATTAGTAGCATCAAACACAAAAAAAAAAAATTACGATATCTTTGATCTTTTAACGAAACACTGAAAAATTATTTTTATTAAATTAAAAAAAAGGTTCTCTGATTTTCACCTAGTTACTTCACAAAGACAAAAAAAATAGCAAACAAAATTTTTTTTATTAAAACTAGAATTATTTTTCAGTGTTATTTTTAGTAATATTATCTTTTCATTATTATTATTATTATTATCATTATTATTATTATTATTATCATTATTATTATTATTATTTATAACAATAATAATGCCAAAGTATCCCTTTCTCCTTTTCCAAATGAATTTGCAGAACAGACATTTTTTTTTATTATCACGCTCACGAAACACTTTGTCTTTAATTTATATTAATTTTTTTTTTAATTAAACGTGTTCTACATAAAGTCACTATTATTATTTTTTTAAAACTAGATTTGAAAAATTATATTTTATTTTGGTAAAATGATAATTTTATTTTTGTAGGATTGATCCAGAATCAGACAAATATTTCCATGAACTGTTTAATCTTTTCCTTGATCAAAAAGAGATCGCGAGGTAAATTTTCTAGTGAAAGAACTGACAATTTTTTTTTAAAATGCAAATTTAAAATAGGGAAACATCATTAATGTTAAAAATAGTTTCCTTAATTTAAATTTTAAAGCTAATATACTTTCTAATTCTTTCTAATATTTATCTTTCATATTTTAATATAGAATATTGATTTTTAGTAATTATATATTTAAAAAAAAATGTTATTGTTAATAATTGAAAAAAAGTAGTGTGAAATTTACGAAAATAACGATTTTTAAAGCTTCGTTTTTTTTAAAAAAAAAGTGTTTCTTTTTACAATAATGAGCCTTTATATTAGTTGCATTTTTATTTATTTTTTTTGCATCCATAGAGATCAATGTTGCATGTTATTTTATATATAATAAATTTTTATTACAGAATGATTTTACTACTGGAGAATTTCAAAGTTGCTTCAAAATTTTTTACTTAGCGGATTTTGCTATTTTTCTGTTTTTTGCGTGATGCATGGATTTCAAAAAAAAATAATAAATGGTGCGTATATTTTTTTTTTTTTTGAATTGAAAAAGAATTCTAAAAAAAAGTAAATGAAATTTATTTCTTTAAAAAGTATTAATTTCCGTGGTTTTTAATTTTTTTTCTTTTTTTTTTGCTATTTTTCAGAGAAAAAAAAGAACCATCTCCAGTGGAGGAGCATGGAACTAATGGCGTTCAAATGGTCCAATATGCAACATCAAGTAAAGGAACATTAAGATCACTCTCGGCACAACCCTCAAGTCCAAATAATTCTTTGTCTCGAAGTCCAAAGTGAGTAAACAAATTTGATTTTACAAAAATATATAAAAATATTCGTATGTAAATATTTTTTTTAATAACAAACCAATTTTTCTAAAATTACTCTTAAAAATTTTACCTGCGTATTCACTTAAACCGGTTTTAAAGATCATCTTTTCTTATTTTTATAAAAAAAAAAAAAGTTTTTAAATTCATTCTATAAAAAATTGATTGTATCTGCTTATTTAAATTACTCCACGATGACAATATTTTTTTTTTTATAATTTAAATTCGAAAATATTATTGTAGCGAATATTATAAAAAGAAAAAGAATTTTGTATACAGTTTCACATTCTTGTTATCTTTTTAAAGAGCAATATAGCCTTCGAAAGATGCTGCGCGCGGTAAAATATATGTAATCATTATACTCTCTCCCTGAACCCTTTTCTCGTGAACCCTTTCCCAGAATCTTTTACAATGGTTCTCAAAGTATATCTCAGTTCTCAGAAAAAAAAGAACAACTCTAAAGAATTGACGCTCCCGCGCGCGTTCTTCAACGAACTTTTACCTCCTGAGGTGCATTTCTCTCTTTTTTCAGAACCTCTGTTGAAAGGACCAACCCGTACATTAGACCGAACCCTCCCCCTTATATGGGACCAAATAACTTGTAAGTTTTTAAATTTTATTTCCAAAAACGTAAATTTTTTTTTACTAAATATTACTTATATTTTTTGAATTTAAATTTAAATAACTATTAAAAAAAACTATCGATTTATTATTATTATTATTATTATTATTAATTACTATTAATTTAATCAAAAATTGTTTTTTTCAGCGTTGGACTTCGAGCTGATTTCTGACTACACGAGGAGCCAGCAAAGACGTGGTTTTGCTAAAGTTTCAAATTCATTACACTGAATTGTGAGAAAAAAAAATTCACACCTGAATCTTTTTTTCTGAAAGACAAAGCAAAATCATTTAATCTGGCTCCGAATAAGGAAAAAATCTTTGCGATACAATGATCGCATTATAATTACGGTAATAACAGAAAAAAAAATTATATTATACAAATAATAATAAATAGCAATTTGTTTAAATACTTAATTATTACATATCGAACAAAGAGATCAGTAATTGATACATTTTTATACGGATATACGTAATATATTCATAATTTACGGACTTGATAATTAAATTTTAAATTAGAAAAACATATAATTAATTAATGTATAAAAATAGTAATATACAATAAAATTATCATTAAGTTTCAAATTCCACTTCATTTATATAATTTTATTTTCTGTTTTTTTTTTTTTTTATTTAATCATCCTATTTGAAAAATGTTTGTTTTAGTTTGGATTAATATTTTATTTACTTTTTTATTTAATTATCAATTTAATATTTTACTAAATATTTATAATTAAACAAAAGAAATGGTTTTTTTTTAATTTAGAGATTTTTTTATTATTTGATTTATAAATGGTATTAAGTAGGGATAGTCAACGATTAACAGGTAAGTATTTAATAAATCTTTTTTTTTTTAACCGAAAATTTATAATTAAAGAATTTTTTTTACTCCTCCAAAGTCTAAACGTATTAATTATCTACGTGTAAAAATTTAAATTTAATATTTGTCTCAAATATAATAAAAAAATAGTCTTAAAAAAAATAATACTATGATCATCATTTCAAAACAAAATAACAGGTGCCATAGATTTTTTTCTTTCTACATCCCTGACATTCACCCACGCCAAAAAATTTCTTGCCGCGAATTGCGTAAACCTGTGTAGAACTGTGATGTATAGAACTTGTTTTTGTGAGTGAAAAATTTGACAATGATTTCTAAATTCAATTTAAAAGTATAGAACATTTAATGTGCGAATAGGTGAAAATTATTTCAATTTTTTTTTTCTAAGGAGATGGCGGGCATTGTTCCTATTCCCTGTCGATCCGGCAGAAAACAGTGGACATTACACGGTAAATTTATTTTGTTTTGAAATCAGTATTTATAAGAATCTCTAAAGATAATACCTATGTATGTATAGTGAATTTTTATCTTGTTGGTGACAGTTACTTTTCGATAGCCACGTGACTTAAATGTCAAAGTTTGTTTACAATCAAAATATTTTTATGGCATATATGAACGATTCTAACCTCAAAATTACAATTTTGACAGCTCGTAATTTGCATTGAAATATTTCAAAGTAATATTTTATAACTATTTTCGTAAAATTAGATTCTAAATGAAAAATACAATTATTTTGATGAATTTAAGAAAAATTTAAAAATTATAAAATATTTTAGCGCTATTTTGAAGGTTATATAAAAATCGATTGTCCTTCACCTAATTTTATTTTATGTACATCATAAAAAAATGAATCTTGTATTAAAATTTTAATCTTTTAAAAATTAAGATGAATTTTAGTTTTTTTTTTATTCTTGAATTTTAGCTATTCATAAAAAGTAAATTTTCCATGTAGTTTTTAGCTACAGAAAATGAAAAGCTCAAGAAAAATAAAATATAAATAATTTTACAATGTTTTCTATATAAGAGAACATTTTTGTACAAAATGAAAATGAAAAGTTGATAAATAATTTAATTGTCTAACAAGGGAATGCTAATTTTTCATTAACAGATGGACCAAGAGGATCGTTGCGAAGATTACGATCACAACTTGCTGAAGATGGCTGTCCTGAATCACAAGTTGTTTTGGCAAAACAATTATTGGAAGAACAGTGTGGTGAGTATTGAAAAAAAAATATTTTCTATATGTTACATTTTTCACCTTAAATTTACAATGTAATAATAATTTTCGAAAAAAACAGAACTTGACGTTGACAAAGAAGAGAATGCAAAATTGGGAGTCTATTGGTTGACAAAAGCTTCTGAACAGGGAAATTTGGAAGCAACTGAAATTCTCGAAAAATGCCTAGCTAGTGGACGAGGTATCACTGAACACAATTATTATGACGTGAAAAGTTGTCTAGACATGTCACAAGATGAAAAACTTGCAAGACGCGCTGCCAGAGAAATGTTCAACAGGTAAAAAGATTTTTCAAAATTTAAAATTATATTTTTAAAAAAATTTATTAAAATTCCAAAAAAATTAAAACAACGTAATTTAATAAATAGTTTAGCAAATGGAGAAGATTTTATAACAACTGAACAACTACAAAGAAAAATGAGAGAATTATCCTTTCCATCAACAAGCAAAGGAAAATGTAATAAATCTAATAATTCACAAAAAACTTTAAAAGACAGCGTGGGCGATACTTTTCCCGAGGATGGACTCACGGAAAATTCAAATTGTTTCAAAAATGGAAATGAACGATTTGGTGAACCTATTGCAGGTAAAAAAAAAATTGTAAATTTAAAATTTAATTTTTATATTCAAAATATTGAACATTTTTTTACAGATTGGTCAATACATCAGGGGGAAAAAATTACCGAATCAATTTTAGTATCAGCGGCGGCAAATTATGCCCGCGGTCTATTGCCAATTGTTTCAAATGCTCTTTGTCTTGTGGATTCAACGCAAATGGAATTAAATACAATTCCACTTTTACAAAGGCCTTTCATTTATCCACTTGCATCACTTAAACGTCTCTATTTTTGGCTAATTGAAACCCTAGGGAAACGAACAATGCCATTTAGAAAATTTTTTTTCACTACTCATATACATACAATTTTTCTACTTGTTCTCTATTCAATGTTTGGTACTGAAAGTTTATTGCTTTTTATTCCATTAGTTCTCTATTATCTCTCATTTATCGTTATGGTTGTCTCAACATTTCAAATGCTTCAACGTAAACGTGAATTAACTGATTTTCGTCTATGGTCAGGATTATTTCTCAGTTATTCAGGAGGGAATCTTAATCCAGAAGAAGCTGAATATCAATTTTGTCGTAATAATTTAAAACCCCATGGTCATTTTTTCTTAGCGCTTCTTTTAAATTTAATGATTTATCCAATAATTGCCCATCAATGGACACCGCAATCTGAATTTACAATTATTGCCGTTGCATTAACATTAGTGACACTTTTGAATTTTACATGGAAAGATTCATCGAAAATACCGGATATTTTGGCAATTTTTAGTTTTTGTGTTCATGTTTTGGCAAAATATCCCTATGAAACTGATATTGTTGTTGCTCAAACGTGGCGATTTTTAGATATAAGAGTACCGACATTTGCCTCCTACGTTGTTGGAAATGGAATTGAATTTTGTTTAAATTTTCGTGCTGTATTTTATCTTTTAATTCCGGCTGTTTTTGCAAAAATGGCCGCAAGAGATGGATGGCGAGGTACATATAAAACATTAATTCCACATTGTGTAACTTTAAGTTGGTGGCAAATTGCAATTCTCTCATCACAAGGAGCAACTTGGTATGGATTAATACGAGGAACACTTGCTCTAGTTGGTATGGTACTTTTTATACCAATTGCTGGATTAGCATCAATTATTCTACCTATTTTGGCAACTGCAAAATATCTTACTGAAAGTGATATAGCAATGAAAATTATTCTTACTATTCTATTGGGAGGTTTACCATTTTTAGCATCTTGGTATTTGAGAAAATTAAGAGTTGCCAAATACAATTGGATAATTACATGTATTCAGGTAAAAAAAATGAATTTTAGTTTTTTTTATAAATTATAAAAAATAATAATTTAAATATATTTTACAGCTAAGTGTTGGATTTATTGCCGGTGTATTTCTTTCATGGCCAATGATAATTGGATATAAACAGGAAGTGAGTACGAATCAATATGAAGTAATACCAACACTATCTTGGGAACAATATCAAAATCATTGTCATCAACCAGCATGGGAGGAAACATCATCAAAAGCTCAAGTACAAGTGCAATGTGCACATTTAGAAGGAATGTCAATTTCCTGGGAAGGTTATGTGACTAACGTTAGATTAAAATCGATAAAAAATAATGTTGCATTTATTATTAATAAATTGCCAAATTTTTTAAAAGTACCATTAAGTTGTTTAATGGGTAAACGATATCAAGATGAAAAAGATTGTAATAATGGAAATGAAATTCGTAAACGACATTGTCAAACATTTTTGGATATTCAAAAAAGAAGAAATAAATGTCATCTCGCCAATTGGGATTGGTATGAATTTGAAATATTTGTTAAAATGAAAAGTGGAATGTGGGTTAGTAATTCAGAAGTGATATTACTTGGTGATCAATCATTTAAAAATTTTAGTTTAAATATTTATCCGGGTGATAAAATTTGGTTTTCGGGTGTACTTTTGAATAATGGATTGAAAAAAGAATCATTATTGGGTGGTTTAAAACCACATATAAATTTAGAAGAAGCTGGATGTCTTGCATGTCATACAATTGATTTAAAACCATCTAAACAATATAGGTATGAGTTAAATTTTAATTCGCTATTAAAAGATGTCTTCTTAGGATTAAAGACTGTTTTGAATTTTTTATTTAATCCCATAGTTATATTTAAGTAATTATTTCATAAGAAAGATAAAAAAAACTACATAATCAAGTTCTTCGATTTGTTTGACAAAATATGTGAATATTGCAAAAGTTAATGTAATTTTGTTTGAAAAATCAGTTACTTTATAATATAGTAAAAGATTTTTTAAAAAGCAGAATATAATGAATGTTTCCGAGAAGAAAAGGAAAATAGTTGTAATGTATTTTACAAATTTGTATAATTTATTTGCTATGCGCAATTATCTAAATTTATTTACTTCATGTTAGTCAAATTTGTTACCTTCGACTCAGGTATTTTAGAATAAATAGAGTTCAGTAGGAATTCATACTCTATGTAAACAATGTTATCAGTAGATTCAATGTATGTTTAAAAAAAAAAATTAATGTATAATAATTTTAGAGGTGCTATTTAGTAGGAAAATATATTTAAATGTAAGTCTGATATTTTTCTATATTGCGTTATAATAGGCATATATTATTGCTTTTGTGGATTTTTCTTCCATTTTTAAAAAAAAAAATCACGTTATTGTTATTTATATCGATTGTTTTGTAAATTGTTAGAAATAATTAGAAGTTATAGAGTTATTAATTAATAATTAATGTTATATGTAACAACCACGTAAATATATATATAGCACAAGATAAAAATTCAAAAAGAATTAAAATCTCATCTTTTTGAATTTTTATTTTTCTGAATTAACAACGTCCACAAAAGTTTCTCTCTATTCCTTAAATTTCTCAAAAGTATTCTATATACTTATTTGTCAGGACCGCGGTAATGGGGCCGATTATAATTTATTTTGTATAACAGATTTTAATCAGAGGTTAAGAAACAGTTATAAAATTTTGTACGTAGTTTAGATATATATATATATATATATTTGATGTTAAGTTTAGATTAATTGTATCAATATTAAACACAAGTTTTTTATAATAAAAAAAAATCTGTAATTGAGAACCAAAATGTTGTCGACAAGATTCTATAAAGAGTGCCTTGACGTATTTTGTTTATGTCTAAATTGTTCAAAATTACTTTTCGGAAATAAATTTATTTACCAATAATTTGTCTTTGTTTTTAATAAAACATCCTTTTACCGTGTATTAGGTTAAGTTTAGTTCAATACACAGATTTATATCAAATAATATCGCAATTAAAAATAATTTAAAGAAATTTATTTTTTATTGACTCACCGTTGCTGCAAATTGATGGTAATCCTATATTTGTAGTAGAAGATCCTTAGGTGACTTTTTCTTGATAATCCTTTTAAAATGACACTTGACACAATACACTAAACATAAGCCATGAAAATTTTTCTATGCAACAATGCAAACAAATGAAATAAGCAAATTATAACCTCCAAATTAGTCACTATAATGAGTTTTTATGGAAATTTTAATCAGCACTTGATTATAATTAATCGAACACACTGTTTCACTGAGATTTTGAATCAGAATATAAAAAAAGCAATGTTGCCGTTTTTGAAAAAATGATTGCTTGCACACACAATTTGCCGAAAATCAACGCCGACTTGACAAGGGATTAAGCGTTAAATATAACGAAATTGTATAAAAGTTTTTATCAAAATTAAGCATTTATCACTCACGAACACTAATTAACACTCATAATAACTCGAAACGACTAAAAAACATTCTTTTTTAACGAAAAAATTGGAGCACGACACGCGGGATTTCGAAGGAACGACGCGATCTACCAATTTTGTTGCAATTGGTCACGTGATCTCAATAGACGGCTTCACTACTACTGGAGTCAAGTCTATTACATTCAAGTGATTTAACATTAATTTAAAATGAATTTACATTATATAAAATACATTGCATTAAATTTTCATAAAGATATCATCAATGTATTGATTTATTTTACCTATTTGACCTATTTAAGTGATAAATTTTAATTAAAATTAATAAAAAAAATATTTGGCGCCAACGAATCAACGGAGTGAGCATGCGCAACTTGACTTTTAATAATCCACCAATGAGCTTTTAACTCATTTTCTATTGGTTAATTTCATAAATTATTTTGCGCGCCATTAACATTTTAGCGCGAAATATTTTCAAAATTGTTTAATTTTAATTTAAAAGTAAAAAAAAAATATTTATACAAATCAATTGATTTTTCTCCATTCTAATAATTTCATTCTCATAATTAAATCATTAATATAAAAAGAACTAATAATTAAAAAAGATTAAAAAAATTTTTAATGAAATTTTCTAATAATTAATTTGTATTAAGTATTTTTATTTAAATATACAATAACATTTGTCTATATACTACTTACATAATAATACTTAGACGTAATATCTTTAAGAAAAAAATGAACGTTTTCATTAACAAATACAGTGAAACCCATGTTTTTATTTTGTACGATGTAATTATTATTACCCATAAATTGGAAAGTTTATATAATATAAATTTATTTCTTATTAATTATTATAAGAACAATTTTATAATAACATCAAGAATTATTTCCTTCTATATACAATCGCGAACAACAATATTCTAATGAGTAAAAACGTCGGAGTTTCACTGTAATGATAAAATATAATATTTAATAATATATATAATAATTGTAATATTCTCACGCATAATAATTACATCACATTTAGAGAGAAGAAAACCTTTTTATAATTCAGTAAACTTCGTAAAATTTTCATTCTAACACATTTACAAGATATAACACATTTATTATTGTTATTATTTATTATTATTATTTTAATTATTATATTAAAAATGTCGACACAATCATTTTTTCCACGTATTATTTTTGACATATACAAATAATAGTCGACAGAAACATTCATTTTTTTTTTATTTCTAAAAAGTCGATGGTAATTATAATTTCCTAACAATTACTTATTAATTATTTTCAAAATAGTTTCGTATATTTTTATACGAATTTCAAAATTCTAGTTGGTGTTTTTTTTTTGCTGTGCATTCAAAAGGAATTAAATACCTTTTCTTTTTTTACACAAATTTTAAGTCATTTTTCTTCTTCTTTAGAGAGAATCGAAATTTAAAAAAAAAAATCTTCGTTTGTACCTTTCAGGGAAATTGTAAAATTTATTAAGAAAAAAAAATAAAAAATATTTAAAAAATTATCTCAGTGAGAGAATTAAAAAGAAAGTTTAATTTAATTTTTTAAACACAGCCTTAAGGAAGCCAATAATAAAAATTGAAAACTTCAACGAGATGTTTTTTGTTAACTGTTTTCAGCAATAAGGATACAGATATATAATTTTACTTTTTCTAGGCCTACATGAGAATGATTATAAAAATATTTTGAAATTAATACTTTTTGAGAGAAAATCTAAGGCCACAATGTGGTATTGAAGCTTAAATGCAAATTGAAATTATTATTAGAAGACTTTGTAAATTCAATACTTTGGTTTCGATCTAAGGTAATTTTTTTTTCTTTTTTTTTTCCTTTTTTTTAAGAAAATTATGCTAAGTTATTAAATACTTCATTGTTTCTCTTTTTCAATGTTATTTCTTCGTAATTTTTTTCGTTAGAAAAATTAATTTCGGCGGTTTATGGTCACAAACTTAAACTTTTTCTATACTTTTTGATAAAAAACAAAAAAAAAAAATTTTTTTTTTGTTCATTTAGTAAACACCTTCGTTGTATTCTATCTTAAAAAATTAAATTATGTACAAATTGTACACAATTATTAAATAGACAATTTCTTTTTTTTATGAGAAAAAAAAAGTTAAATACATATACATTGACTAAAAATATAAATAGTATTTCGATAAAATTTAACTCTATATATATAAAAAAAGATTATGTTAAAACTTAACGTAAACATATATTTTGAGTATTTAATCACGAGTTTCAAAAACTTGAAGGGACAAACTAAGAAAATGAATTTCTTTTTGTAAAAAAAAAATTATCTTTAAATTTCTTACTTATTTAAGTAATTAAAAAAAATGTTGCAAATTTTTTTTTAGTAAGTTAATAGTGATTTTAAAAAAATTATTTAGGATTAGTTATTTTCTTGAAAACGTGTGTCTTGTTAGTGAGAAGTGGACGGCACTGAATTAATCTGACTGGACATGTAACAGCAGTAACATGGAACCATCATGTCAAAATTCCTTTGAAAAGTAATTAAATTTAAAGTATAAAATTTTTGAAATTTATGTAATTTAATTTTCAATATAAATTTTAATTACTTAAGGTAAAATTTTTTTTTTAAAGATCATCAAATTTATGAGGAAAAAGGTTATAAAAAATGATTTTTTAATTTCAAAATGCATTACCTGGTTTGTTCCTCTAGTTGTTGAATTTTTTCTTCTCTAAATTTGATACACTGCCTCGTTGAGTGTTTAATTAATCGCTATGGCTGCGAACCTCCGCTACTGTTACTTGAACTTTCTCCTCTATTTAAATTATCAGAAATATCTGTCAATTTGCTTATTCGTCTTTCACCACTTAAACTAATTAAGAAATTAAAAATAATAACATTAATATTAAAAATTAAATTAATTTGAAATTTTATAACCAAAAAAAAATATTCTATTCTTCTATTTTGATAAATAATTAATATACTTACTCCTTACGAATTTGAGAATTTTTTAAATCTTCATTTTCATCGGATGAATATCGATTTTTCGAGCGATCACTTGGAGGATTTGTTTTATCTTGATCGGAAGATCGTTTATTTTGTTCCGATGAAGAATCTTGCGTTACATTTTCAATTTCTTCAACTGGCAAACATGTTTCAACCATTGCCTCGAGACAATTAACAAATAATTCGGCACTCTCTGCGGTTCGATTACACTGGGAGAGAAGAGAAAAAAAAATAAAATTTAATTCAAAAACAACAAAAATAAAATATTATTCTTACCTTAGTGTAAGGTCCAGCGAATCGCCAAAGTCCTCCAAAACCACAGCTTTGTAAATAATGTAATTGTTGTTGACTCGTATCTTCACAAGCAATCATATTTTGAATGATAGCTTGAACCGAATTTAAAATCGCTTGATCATGACATGATGACAGGACACTATTTATTTTAGCATCCAATAAATTATGACTGAAAAATTAATTATTTAAAATTTTATTATCAAAATTTCTTTAGATAATTTTTTTTTTTTTTTTTTTTAATATACTTACATAACTGGGAAGACTTTTGGAAAAACGACAGAAGCTTCTGCAAGATAACCGTACAATATTCTTGTTTCACTTTCTTCAGTGGAATATTTGACCAAAGTTGCCAACACAGTTAAGACAAGGGTTTGTGTTGAAAAATCAGTGAGTACTTCAGGATCCAAAAGAACGTTGTTTTCATTGCTCACACTGACTCTTGTACTTCGATTCTATATTTAAATTAACATGAATGAAAAACAAATTTTTTTTTTCACTTGAAAAAATAAATCAGTGCTTTTTAGAAAAATATCGCAAACTCCATAACACACACAAAAACACATAAAGAAACATGTGAATAGGGAAATTTGCTAATTAAAAAAAAAAATTCTAAAATAGTGTTTAGAATCTTTTTTTTTAGAATCAATTTCTTTTAATTTGTAACTCCTGATTTAATTGCTGAAAAAAAATGAATAATCGATAAGTACCTTTGGCTCTAATTCATCGTTGGATTTCACTTCCTTTGTAGATGGTACAGAGAAAGATCGTTGTGTTTTAAATAAAGTCCTGCCAGTCTGGGTTAGTCGATGAACATCATCAAATAAGATGATCGAAATGATGAGGTGAGAGAGACGTTAGTGGACATTTTTTTTTTTTTTTTTTTTAAGGATTACGATCCAGGTAAAGGCAGACACAGACACGTATCAAACATAGAAAAAAAGGTTCACACAAAATTTGTGAATTAGACTTTAAAGCACAAACCATTTTTTTTTTTTTTTTGCACAATAATTATTTTGCCAATTTGTTTTCACTTTATAATATTGTTTTTTAGGAAAAATATTTTTTAAAATAATTTTCAATACCAGAAAGGCAAGAAATAAATTAATGATAGAAAATATTTTTTCAGAGATTCAAAATATCATGCATTTTTATATATTATCTTTTTTTGTATTTGACAATTATATTCTTAAGGCACAATTAAAAAAAAGAACAATACGTGCAACGTTTAGGTAAATTTTAGATAATATAATAAAATTTCAGATACTTTTTTTTCGACAATACAATCAAACTACAACGTTTACAATGAAAAAAAAAAGAAAAAAAAAAATATAAAAACCGACATGAAACGACAAGAAAACAATTGTTATAAAGTTAATTTAGCTTCATAAGTGCATTAAAATGAAAAAAAAAATTATTAATTAAATTTACCTGATGTGTAGGATGCTGCTTAAGTTGTCGCGCATGTGTAATTGCCGATTGATCCAAAAGATCCCATGATTTTTGTCTACGATTTGGTGGATTATTAACGCTCGTTGAAAATTCCTGGAAAAAAAAATTCGAATTTATTTTTTTAAATTAATTTATTATTTAATTTATTTATTTTCTTTCTAATTCTTACCGTTCCATTAGTAATTAAAGTATCGAGAAAATCATTACTGCCCGATTCATTGGCACTTCTACCAAGAGCATGTCTTATGTGACATCTACTTCGAACTTCTTCCGAAACAGACACTAATGCTGCGAGATAAGCAACACTTTCAGGTGTCACTTCAAATTTATCTCTTCGATATGGTTTTGCAACAATTGCCAATAACATTGTTAAAACACGCGCCGTTCTCGTGACAGTTGTCGGTGTTGGATGTCTATATCCTTTCAATAAATGACCAACCAATGCAAAATGAAAATTAGACTTAAATGACAATCCAACAGCATGATCCAATTGTTTAAAATGCCATTCCAAAGGCTCTCGCGTTGACATCATAACTCGTTCCAAAGTCTAAGGAGATAGATTTAGTTTATTATTTTTTTTTTTCTTTGAAAATTGTAAATTATAATTCCATACCTTATCATCGAAAGTTCCTTGCGAGTCCAAAGTATGTAAATTTTGTTCCAAAAGAGCCAAACCAGAGGCATAAAGAGAAGCTTCATCCAACTGTAAAACTGAAGTAGCTACCCAAAATAAATATCTATGAATTGGAGATTCCTGAGAAAAAAAATTTGTAAATAAGAAAAATTGAAAATCTATTGTGATTAAAGAAAAAAAAATATACTCACGGGTCTTAGAAGCGGTTGTAATCTTGTGAGACACATGACAATCGATTCGAGAAGTATAATATCATTAAAACTCTCAAGTGCTTTAACTAAAATTCTCAACAATTGTTTAATATCCTGATCGGTGATACTTTTACTAATACATCCAAAAACAATCAACGCTCTCGGCTGTAATGCAGGATTAAAACAAAAAGCAAAACTCTTTGCCAACGATGTCCATGTTTTTAGCCAATCACATTTTGGAATATCCCTCATACAAGCTTCCATTATTTCCAAAAGTGCATCAGTTATCACTTCTAAACTCGTCAAAGAAAGTCTTTCACGATCTTGAATTCCTCCCATTGTTCTCTCATTGCCAAACCATTTCTCATTCGAATGTCTATAACTCGACCTAAATAAAAAAAAAAACATTAAAACCTCTTCTTCAAATTTGTGAAAGATAATTCCAAAATTACCTGAAAGCAGTCACAGCGGCCGATTTCACTTTACTGATTCCAAACAACAAATAGAATTTTGGCAATGAAAATTCATCTAAACTCATACGAAGAACACGATAAGTATCTTCGGAAAAAGAAGGTGAACTACAAGTACAAAGTGAATGAATAATATTTATAACTAAACCATGTGTTGATGCTCGCATACTAAGACTTCCGGAACAAACAAGAAATGTCACAGTATGAAAGAGATATGGTAAATGTTTTCCAACATCAAGACAATTATTAAATGAGAGCATTAATAAATATCGTGCCAATATTGCAATATCATCCCACATCATATGTTGTTCCAATAATGGAGTTGGTGATGTACATGTTTTATCAACAACACGACAAAGTCTTCCAATAACTTTTTTTGCAACAAGTTGAACATTACCGGAAGCTAATGCAACTGCTGTATCGGCCATTATTTCCACCATTGGCGAACCCAAACCATAGCGTACACTTCGTTGAATAAAATTATCCAAAACTGTATCAATTAAATCCGGAAGTCTTCCAATTGTACTCCAAATTTTTGCCTGTATACTCGGATACATTTCAACTTCATCAATTGTCAATGTTATTAGTTTCTCCAATATTTGCGTTACTTGCTTCTGTCGTTTTCCACCCTCGTCATTTGGCTTATAGAATCGAACCTAAAAAACGAATTTGTATTACATTTTGTATTACAATATTGAATTTTTAATTAAAATTAAAAAAAAAAACGCCTTACGAGATTATTAAGCCAAGGTGTCATGTATTCCAAACACAAATGTTTCAGTTCAATGGTTGATCCTTTAAAACCCTCGATGCATTCTTCTAAAAATTCCAATGTCAAATGTGGATCATTAGCGGCAAGTGTCTCACTCAAATGTTTAATGAAAATTGTATTATTTGAGGGAATACAAAGTCCTGATGTTTCAAGTAATTGTCCTTCAATTTTAAGATCAAAAGTCGCTGTTAAAGCACATAATTGATTATAGGCAGCAGTTCGTAAATTAGGATCTGAACTACCCAAATTTAAGAGAGCCATATTTAATAATGTTCCCGGTACGTCTTTGGGACGAATTTTTGGATGTACTGACATTGAATCGGGTTGAGATAGTTCCCAACGATTTCTGATATGAATTATTGCCTGTACAATACTATCGCAATCGTTATGAATAAATGACAATGGACCCGCTTCATTGGAAATTGTCAATGTAAATTGATTATCATCAACTAGACAAACTTCCTCAATTTCCGATGCATAATAGACATCATTTAATAAAACTGAGTGCGATAGAACTTTACATTTTTCAGCTGATGTTATTTGTATTGCTGTTGGTCCCACCTAAAAGCCAATAAAAAATTGTAATCAAATTAACCATGAAATTTTCAAATAATTGATATTTAAATAATAAAAAAAAAACCTCACCTTTATAGAGACTTTGGTGTCTTTATGAGACAATTTTAGTGCACTTGTAAAAACTTTAAGATCTTCATCAAGTGAAAGTGTTGCACCGGGTAATTTTTGTTGTTCCATGTCAATTAAATCATTAAGTCTTCCAGGTCCATCGACAAATACAACTTTTCGATTTCCTTTTAATGGTGCCAATATTCTATCGTGAAATTTTGTATATTCCCTCACCCAACTATTACAATTATAAATATAAGCAGCGTGAATATTTTCATAAGCAACCTCAGGTAAAACGTAAAACCATTTTTGTAAGAATTCAGTTCTAAAACGATTATCAGAACAAGTGTGTGTGAAATCAACAACCAATTCAAATGGTGAATGACAAAATGGTTTTAATGTCAAAATCACATGATATATCAAAAGATCTCCATTAGTTTCACCAATTCTGGGGAAAAAAAAAATTAGAATTAGTATTAAAAATAATTAATTAATTATAATTAAATTGTGATAAATTACTTGTAACGCCTCGCGATATAGTAAAAAACAGGATATCCTTGTTTACTCGTTCCTGCTTGATAGAAAATATTCAAACTCTTGATACTTTTAAATTCTTCCTTTTCATGCATATTGTGCTTCACCATTATTTCCTCAAAATTTGTTGATGACATATCAATACTCGACCATCGGGCGTAGGAAGACGAGAATAATAAGCTTGAAGAAAGTACGTTTCTAATGATAATTAAATTATCAAATTTTAAATAGGAAAAAGAAAGGTATATGAACCTTTAATATTCAAAATAAAAGTATTTCTATAATTAAACTAAAAGAAAAAACTTACTGTGAATCAACTGGTTTATGTTCAGGAGGACCAAGATAGGCCAATAATGTTGCCATTTTATCAAAAGGTCTTCGACCCATTGCCTTATGATCACGACTACTGCTTAAATAATCACCAATTCTCTCTTGATGATTCCAAAGTAATCGATGTAATGCCAATACATTTGCATCCGAAACAAATGACATTGGATGATTTGCTTGGTCCACTGTTTCACAATCAGATGCAATTTGTATGAAAAATCGTCTTCCAATTTCAAAATGAGCTTGAAGAAAATCATTGAAAGGCAACATGTGCTGTTCTTTACTGAATTCAACATGATTTGCAATATTTTGCAAAATTTTCGACATCAACATAAGGCCACGTTTCACTTGCGGTGGCATTGGTTTATTTACAATTCCCATTTCTTGTGGTGATACAATAGCTGGATTAATAAAACGTAAAAATATAACTGTACCAACAGCGCCAATATTATTCTGAGGACATTGTGGAAATCTTTTACTCAAAACTTGATAAAGACAATGACACATTGATCGCAATTGTGGAGGAAATCTAGAAAAAAAAAAGAAAATTAGAATTTAATTCTAATTTTAAATCAATTTTTCAAACTTACCGATCAGCCGATGAAACAATGGCATCAAAAACTTTTTGTGTCAAGGCAATTAAATTTCTTCCATTTTGCTCGATATCTTCATTAGCATCAATTCTCGCGCTATCAACTTCAAAACCCGTAACTGGATCGCTCAACAATGGTCTTATAAGTGGTTCCAAAAGATTTTGTAAATAGCTAGCGCCATAAATTTTAAAACAAAAGGCCATAATTTTACTACCAAGACTATTGCCACGAAATAATGTTTGCATACAATCGGATACTTCCACTTCACGATAAAACATATTCCAAAGAAGAGGCGAAAGTAAATGTTTTGCATCAAAGAGAGTAACAAAAACACGAGCAAGTTCATCCATTTGATTAGTTGTCACAACATTTGCCAAAGCCATTGCTATTGGCAATTCTCCCTTATCGCTTATCATTGTCACTAATTGTACCAATTGTTCGAATCTATCGGCTAATACAGTTTCCGCAAGTGTATCAAATTCCGTTCCTTGTTGAAGAATTTTCGTCAACACTTCCATGAATGCTGCTCGTGTTTGTAAATCTCGATTATAACCCAAAACTGTATCAAAAATATTCCAAATTTTATTAATTTAATAATAATTTACTTAACAATTGAAATAAATAATAATAACATACCAATTGAATGCATGAGACCGCTGTCGATATTTGCACTCAAAAGATTACTCATCGCCTGAATAGTTGCATTACGAAGTGTCGAAAGTTTTCCCGATGTTATTCTTTGTCTAGAAACTTCTTCCTTTTCTTCAGCAGCAACATCATTGCAATTATTCAATAAATTCATGAATAATGTAAAATACTTGAGAAAAAGTTGTGATTTCGCTTCCATTAAATCACCACGATCGGATTCTTCCGGTTGAAGGGGTAATCCTCTTAATAATGCTCCAACAGCTTCCATGCAAGCTTGATCCAAATCTCTAAAACTCGAACTATTGAAAAACATTAAATAATTTATCATAAACTTCAGTTATAAAGTTTTGAAAAAAATATTTTCTCACCTATTTGCAATTGAAACATCGCCACTCGCTGAAGGGGCAATTTGATGTGTTGTACCCAATATCCAATCGGTGAGATATTCAACGAGTTTATTGCGAAATTTCATTTCCTGACGAAATGCTAAATCATCACGTCTCTTCATCATCACTTCAACTAGTTGACAAAGTTTTGTTTTAATATGAACATTTGTATCTAAATGTCGTACATATCTAACAATAGCCAACATCATACCCTCAATACTTGTCATTCCAAGATATTCCGATGGCTGATCAGTTTTTGAATCCAATACATTTTTCATAATAAATATTGTATGCTCAATAAATTGTGTATTCACATCGGTGACAATAACTTGACCTTGTTGATCAAAAAATTTCTCCACAATACTTTTAATTTGATCAAATAAAATTGGATATAATGTAGGATTCATTTCATGTCCCACTAATTCTTTCACGTGTTTTTGTATTTGTGCACCAAATTTTTCATTATTACAAATTAACAATCGTAGAAGATTAAATACAAATTGTGTCACTGGACAATATTGTACTTCTTGACTTGAATTTGTTAAAGATGAAACTGAATCTTGAAGTTTAGTTGAACTTCTCTTTGGTTCTGGATTCGATGGCATTCCAGATAATGGTCGATTTGGTGATCTTCGTTGAAGACAAACACCGCCTAAAGCGCACAAAAAACCAGTCATATTAGCCCATTCATTGATTTGTTCTTCTAATTCGTGTTCGGAATTTTGATGTGAAGCTCTTCGTTTTCCCGTGCTTCGATGAAACGATTCAACTTGACCGTCTTCTGCTTTTGTCTTTGGATAATTGGACAATTGTCGTGATGTTTGTTCCCAATTGCGAAAAGTTTCCTCCCAAGCCTGTTTGGAAAAAAATAAATTAATATTTGATAAAATTTCAAAAAAAAAATGAATAATTTTTCTACCAACCGGTTGAACACCATTGACGCAATGTTCGATTTTTCTCAAGAGAGCCATTATTCTTTTTTGCAAAGCTAAGCGACCTGTAATATTTCAAAATAATTAAATAGTAGATGGTAAAAATAATTAGTATAGTTAATAAAAAAAAAAAATTAAAATAACTCACCGTGATTATGTTCATGATAATACATTCTACTTTCCCCACTGGCTGTTTGGTGAAAAAAAATTTTCTGTTTAGGTAAATTCGGATAATTTTCAACTTAAATAAATAAATAAAAATTATTATTCTCACCAATTGTTAAAACAGTGGAAGCTTGAGCCAGTTCAACATATAAATGATAATTAGGCAAAAGACATGTTACAGCAACTTCGTCACTTCCACAGCGAATTTCCGCCTCTTCGCATAAAAGAGCAAAACATGACATTGCGACTAAAACAGCTTCCATGTCAATACTCCACAGATACATAAATAAAACCACCTGGAAAATTTATAAATAAATCACGAATTAAAATTTTATTTAGTTTTTAGAATTTATTTTTAATTAACTATTTAGTCTTTAAATAAATTTAATTTTAAATGAAATTACAAACCTCAAGTTTAATGTGCGCTTGTTTGCAAATAGCAATTTGACTGCCGATATTTGCATAGTCTTTATTTTGCGAGAGAAATGCATTTCGACATATTAAAACTTCCCTCAGCCATTTTAAAATATCCGTGTAATTAACAATTTGATGTTGAGTTAATTTTTGTGAAATTGAAAATAAAACCTGTGAACTAACATCCCAAAATGTATTAATAGGAGCCTCTGGATTCCAGGCTTTTATTTTATCAGGATGATGTAAAACTAATAGCGCTTCCATTGCTTCATGAGCAATGTCCGGCATCGTTGGTTGATGAACCAATGATACTAAACCATTTATTAGTTCTAATGTAGAACTCTGTATTTCATGACCGGCTTTGCCTTGATTCTAAAATGAAATTAGAATTATATAAAAATTAATTTTCAGTAGGAAAAATAAAAAATTTGAAAATAAAAATAAAATTAAACTTACATTTAACATTAACATTGGATCGGCGTGTATTAATCGCACCATCCAAAATAAAAGATTTCTATAACTCGAAACTTCTTCTCCTCTATCTCTATATTTACTTTGTTCCTTGCCCTTGAGGGTTAAACTCTGTATCATTCGTAACGGTGTATGCGATATGTAATTTTGTGTAACTTTATTGAGAGCATCAGTGAACATATTTCTCAATTCGGCACTGCGAGAGTAAACCAAATCGATTTGAGGCCACCATGGTAATCTTGGTTGAGTAACGATTCTGTAATTAATCATTAAAATATTGAACGCTAACAACAAAATTAAATTAAAAAAAAAACTAATTGAATAATAAAAACTTACCTGTATAATGAACTGACTAGAACATATTGATAGGTCGAGGGTGAATTCAAATTTAAGCAGACTTTAAGTACTTCGTTGTTATGGGGTTTAATGCGAAAACAACTGACAAAACAGTCTATCATTAAATCAATATCCTGAGCCATACAGCTCTGTCCTCTTGAAAATGGTTTATTTGGATTAAATAAAAGTGATGTTAAATCACTCATCACATGTTGTACAAGTGTAAACATCACATTATTGGAATCTAAATTACTAATATAGGTTGAGGCCTTGCATAATTTCACGCAAGTAACAGCGGCAGCTTCAACAATTTGTTTATTTGAACCGCCATGCATTACCAATCCTTTTTTGATGCCATCAATGAATGATTTTTTTTTCGAATGCTTTGGCGAACATGGTGCACCAGTGTCGGCGTTGACAATTTCCTCCAATACTTTAGGCGACAATATCAATAACATTATTTGTAATGGCCAAACGGCAGCTGTTCTTCCTTTTTTATTATCAACAAATGAATCCAATACATCAAACAATTCGCCACAGGCTTTTCCCAATTCTTCATTTGGTCGTTTTTGTAAATCGGCAAATTCATGTGGATATGTGTCCATCCAATTCCACACGGCTTTCTCCAATGAATTCATTAGGACTAGATGCGCTGATTTTTTTAATTGGCGGAATTTTTGAATTGTTTCTAAAATTTTTAGAAAACAAACATTAATCAAAGAATACTATTACCTTTTTTGCTACAAAAAATTGTTACAGAGCAACAAAAATGAAATTTATTTGGCTCTGAGACAAATATATTTAAGAAATAAAAAAAAATGATAAAAACGAACCATTTAAAAGTTTTGCAAGCCTATGAACATCAACGTTAATATGTTGAATAAGTTCAATGTCACTATAATCAGGATTCTCTTCATTACTAACGGAAAGTTCCTGTAGTCGTGCTGATATTCGATTAAAGACAGCGTTAAAAAAATTTAAGCTAAGTGCAAAGAGTACTTTGCTTGCTAGATTTTTTAAATGAGCATTTTGAGGACTGTCGTTTGGTATATCTGCAAAAAAAAAGAATTGTAAATTAAAAATTAATACATAGGTAAATTAAAAATTATTATATATAAAACACATACCAATAAATTGACAAATTTCTTTAAGTGTTTTTTTAACATTCATAGCCTCATCATATTTTGTTGTATCTTTAGGTTGATTAGCGAGACATCGTTCTAGAGTATCTAACACTATAATAATCGATTCATAACAATTTCGTTCTTGGTCAGCGGCATTAAAAGAACGTTGTCCTCCTGTCGATGGTACCATTTCGTTGACGCGTTGCAGCATTTTTGTAAGGCCAGATATCACGAGGGAGAAACGATATCGTGAAATTTTTATCAAACATTTTTTATTCTTCTCCTCATTCAGCCGGGAGTGTGTTGTTTGATGACCAGTTCGACATGGCAACTGAAAAAAAAATTATTTCATTAAAAAAAAAAAAAAAAGAAATCAAAATAAAAAATATTTTTTATTTAGAGACCACACCCTTAATTTTTAAATCAAAGTATGCTATTTCTCCTTAATTAATTCAATTTATTGTCAAAGTTCTGATAATCAATCATTAATTTGTGTGTAAACCTTATTTTACACATAATTGTATATGTATATATGTATTTTCATTCATGCAGTTGTAAAACGATAGAAGTGGGGTAAGAGAATTCGGAAACATCAACCGCGATTGGACAACAACCCGGAAGCAGGGACAGGGGGGGTGGGAGGAGGAAAAAAGCTGAGAAACAGAAGGTCAAATTGTAGAGGAAGGGGTAGAGGAGAGGGTTCAAGAAGAATTTCTATGAATGAATCTTTTAAATACACGTACATATTAATTCAATTGTAAAAATAATGATAATTTTCCAAAATTTTTAACACACAAACACACAGAATTACATATCTCTTTCCTAGAAATTGAGACAATAAACCAGATGTTCAAATATAAAAGTATGACTTATTCATACACCTTGACACACTGTCAAGTGCTCCAAAATCAAAACAGTAAGAAAAAAAAAAAACTATTATCTCACAACACGTGTGTAATAACACACATGTCATGTAATTAAATTTTGACAGTAAATTCGATTTTCAAGAAAAAAAAAAATTACAGTAGAGTTAATTTCACATTTTTTCTGTAAATATAAACATGAATTTTTTTGCTATTTTTAACACTTACATGGCATTTTATAACAAAAATTAAATAAAAATTCTTCCTTTTTGAAATTAGGGAAATTGGTGAAAGGAGGGTGTTCTAACCTCAAAATAAGATTTGACAGTTTTTACATGCAATAGAAAAATTTGAAGTTTATTAGTGTGTTTGTGGGGAAAATTGGAAAAAATGCTCAAAAAGGAAGATTTTGAAGAAATAAGATGGAATGAATAGCGATAGAGATGGTGAAAATGTAATTGAATAATGTACCTGATCTTCGAATCGCGCAATAAGCGCATTCGCCCACTCCCCCGGCTTTTGCGTCCCCATCCCGGCCGTTTTTCACTAAAGCTTCATTGACGAGACGTCATAACAATTTTTTTTTCAATTTTATAACAAATTTTTTCCCGGACCGAGCACTGTGGCCCGCGATCAAGACGTCGCCATTTACGAACTTACACTGGCAAGCGTGAATTTTAATTGGATATTTAAAAAGCAATGTTGATTGGAAGGCGTCGTAGATGTTGATTGGTTAGTTTGGAATTATGAATGAATTTCTGAACTTTCTTGCTTACTATCAACCAATGCGAAACCACCTTTAGAAGAAACAAAGTATTCCATTCCCCCGCCAAGTGACCGCGCCATTCATAAGAGCAATTCGGTCCCCTCGGTCGATAATAGACATTCCTTCAATGGAATCCCTCAAAATATTTTCCTGTGATGTTCAATGAGTTTTTATTCGCGAGTATTAGACAGGAAAATCATCAGATTCATTCACATATTCGCTCTGTTTGTTTTTTTTCTCTCTTTTCTATTCAAATTTGTTTAATTTACTTCAAAAATTGAGAAAAATTGCAAAATATTTAAATTTACATATTCTCTAGTACTTTTAATTTATTTTATAATTAATTAATTTACAAGGTAGGATTTTTATTCAAAATTCAGTATTATGTTTTGTAAAGCATTTTTTATTCGATTCAATTAAATAATTTTATTTTACAAATATTTTTTTGTTATAATTAAAGTAGATTTTAAAACTTAAAGTAGATTTTAATTTTGTAAAAAAAAATTATTCAATGAAAAAAAATTATTAGCTTCTTTGGAAAAAAAAAATAAACTGGTAAGTTACGACTTCTTTTTATTTAATTAAAAATACTTTTAAAAATTCAGAACCGTGCAAAAATAAAATTAAAAATATTGAATAAAAATACACCGGTAATAAAATTATTTTTATTTTAAAATATATTTTAACGTTCTTTAATTAAATATTTAATTTTCAATTAATAATTATTTTAATTTAGAGAAAAACATTTTTAATTTCAAAAAGCATTGTCAATCATTATTTCTTTTATCATTGGTTTATAAATTTTACTTATTAAAAAAAAAAAAAAACGATAAAATATATTTTAAATAAAAGTAATGTTGAAAATAATTAATAAAAATAAAATTGTTAAAAATTATATTACATACCGATAAAATAAGTTTTTGCTTTAAAATTTCATCGTTCTCTGAAAGCTATTTTTGTACTCATCGCAAAAATTCAAGGGGGACTAGAATTATTTAAAATATATATCTAAACTATTTCGAGTTGATTAACAATAAATTATAAAGCTCTTCGCAATTAATTTTCAGTCTCTTTTTCATCGTTTATCACAATAATTTGTTTTATTCTCACTATATTTAGTGAGTTTTGATTGAATTCGTCGATTGAATTTGTCTTCCTTGAACAAGCTCTTCTTCAATTATGTGAATCACAGATTTTAATGTTTGTAGATCACGATGACAATGTTTTTCAATTGAATGAACACTCTTTGGATCCAAATCAGAAATTCGAACGCTTGTCAAAAATTTTAATTCCTCCGATATTTGAATTATGTAATCATCGTTAATATTGTTGTATTCATTTCTAAAAATTAAAAACAAAATCATTAAAATGTAGCATCAAAACTAATTTGAAATTATTTTGCAAATAAAATTTATATCTCTATTAACATAATTAAAATTAACTTACGGATTCATTTCTTGAAAAGCAATAAGAATTGAACAATCTCTTGCTGTACAAAAAAGTAAATAATTTTCAACAAATACTATTTCTTTATCAGTTGGTAATTTATCCAACAGTCTATTGTTTTGAACAGAAAAATTTTCCAATGTTCTTCGTTTATTTCGATCATGACTTTTTTGGCGATTCAAAAGTAGAATTGAATCTTTGATAGAATTTTGCATTTCTTTTTTCTTTCCATCATTTTTCGTATAATAATCATCATTTATTGCAGAATTCTGAAAAAGAAATTTTTTCTTAATATATTTTAAATTGATTTTAAATTATAAAAATATTTTCATCTTAAAATTATTACCATATAATTATTGAAAAATGATGAACGTTGTATAATTCCACGTGATTGATAGACATTAATTAAACTCGAATAGATGAGTTCGTCGTCAAGAATTGTCGAGTATTTGGAATAGATCCAAGAAATAATATCGTCTCCACAGCAATGCAGTTGTTGCATTTCAAGAATTTGTTTCAACACTGAACCATGGGGCAAATCAGTACTTGTAAAATCACATTCCTGTGAGAAAAAAAAACAAATTTTCTTTTAATTCAATTCCATAGACTAAGCAATAAATTGTTGAAGAATTTAATTGTTTAATTAAATTATTTAATTATTCGGTATTCAATATACTCTTTACACAATATTTAGAATTTAATTTTATTTTTGTATACACAATTAAAAATATTAATTTAATTTAATTGAAAGCAATTAATTGAAAAATAATCTTAATTAAATTGTAGATATTCGAATTTTCAAAATTGAGAAATAAATAGAAATTTTTCTCGATAATAATAATAATAATAATATCCAGTATTCTATCATCGATTGAATACTCAATAGTTATACCTCGTTTGTAAAGTACAGCATCTTCTTAGCCTTGGCCACGATTTCCGAACTGAGACGTGAGAGAACTTCAATATCCTGATTTATGTCGAACGCCATTGAATTTCGATTCAAATCCTGATTCTCATTTGGAAATTTACGTAGTAGAGCTTCTTGTATTAGAAAACAAAAACTATCCAAATAGTTCTTCTTCTCACGATTCTCTGATGATTCAATAATATTTGGAAACCATTCTTTAAAAATATTGTTGAGATCATTTGCCTCTGAATTTTGATCGTAAACCACAATTCCGTCTTTGAATATTTTAAAATTATTTTGTGGATCCTGAAGAAGACCCTTTAAAGCACGATGCATCCGATTGCGCTCACCGGAAAATAGGTCGAAAGGACAGTAACCACTTCGTCTTGATATCGATTTTTTTTCCAACTGAAAAAAAAAAAAAATTTAGTTAGTAATATTCTTTGCCAATTAATAATTTTTTTGGTTAATCTAAAAAAAATTTTCAATTCTTATATCTATACATTTTGTGCGTTTTCTAATAATATAAACATTTATAAATTACATAATGCCTTTATATGTAAAATAAATCATAATATATACGAGAAATTGATAAATATTTACATACTTTGTGATATTGTGTGAGGCAATAGGGACACTTTTGGAATTGTTGATCATTTTTCGACAGAAATCCCTGTTTTGGTTTAATTTCAACGCAAAAAATTGATTTATTATTACGTGCCGAAACTTTTTCTCTACAATTCAAAAATTCCGGAAGGAAAGCGTGATCCGGAAATTTTGTGGCATATTCCTCAACTGCTTGCTTAAATCGTCGTTGTTCTGGAACAAAAAAAGAAAACGAAATATTGGAATTAAAATAAAATCACTACAATCATTTTTTTTAAATAAAAAATATAATAATCACCTAAATAAATCATATATAAATTTAGAAAGTTTATTTTTTAATAATAAATCAGGAAATTGTTAAAATTTACGACAAATTTATCGGAATTATATAAATTATTAAAAAAAAAAAAAAATAGAGAAAAAGAATTTAAAAATAGTAATTGCAAATTAAGATCTTAGAACATTGGAAACTTTTTTTTTCTTCGGTTAATGATTTTTCAATTGACTCATAAATAAAGTCTAATTGTGCGACAAAAGACGCGTACGTTCAGAAAACAGAATATTTATTATTATTGCTGGAAACTTTCTATGAATTTGTCGATAAATTCGTTCGCAAGGAAAAAAGAAATAAAAAAAAAAACAGCTAATTAAATAGTATATCTTGAGGTGAAATGAGGACGAGCAATTTCCTTAGATGGATGTGAAGGTGATAATTAGTTTTGTGAAGAAAGAAAAAGAAAGATTGATTAAGATCAATAAAAAAAAAAAGAAAAGAAAGATAATTATCTCTTTTACTGTTTGTAAGTTTCGTATATCAATCACCCCCGATCGACATTCGATTGCGCGTGAGGACGTTTAATTTAATGAGAATAAAACCAGGTGCTGCAAGTGAATCAATAACCCACTTTTCGATTTGAACTTACACCTATGCATTTTCTTTTTTTTTTTTTTTTATTATTATTATTTACGCTTATATATCCATATATGAAGGTTTACCTTCACACTTATTTTGGAAAAATTGATTCATTATAATTGTTTCTAATAGCTCTAATTATATGTAAATCAGTTTTACAAAAAGGGATTATATAGATTTAAAAGTAATTAATTAGTCATTGACGAATTATCATAATTACATTAATTTAGTTGAAACTATTTTGCATTAATTTTTTCTCAAAAAAAAGAAAATAATTTTTAAATTCAGAAATAAAATTTAGAATTAAAATTTTAACTCTGAAAAAAATTAATTTTTTCGTACTTAAAAAATCTAGGGAGTACTTTTAGAAAATAAAAATTATTTTAAAAATTTTCCAAAAATAGTTTATTTTTATAATTATTTTCTTTTTTTTTACATTTCTTTGAAAGAGTCTTGTAACAAAAACAATTTTTACTAAATTAAAACAAAATTATTTTTCATTAAAAGAGAATAATAATTTCGTTTCTAGTGTATATGAAATTAAAAAAAAATTATAGAAATGAAAAGAAGTCTTTTTGAATTTTTTGTTTCGAAAAAGAAAAATTTTTTTTTTGGGAACAATAATAATTTTAGTAGTTTCCTGCGTTCAAGTTTCCAGACAAGTGAAATTCAAAGCAAGTTGAGGGTTGAGACTGAAGGAAGTGTATCTTGCAGCAGGTTATACCATTGAGTATTTATGCAGGTTCAGCCCGAGGGAATCACGTTCTTCCTTTTCATGGTCTGTGCTTTGCTGCGGTTACGGTCTTGTTCACAAAACCGCGTATACAGTATATATACATCACAAAAGAACTCATGGCCCTCTTAGCACGAACAAGAAACGAAAGCAATGTTCAAGATAAAAATCTCTCGAAAGGCTTCTTTTTTTTAATATTTTCCATAATATGAACAAAAAAAATCTCAATCGAAATCTAAAATTTAGAAAAACAATTTCTTCAGTCTCAAATTATTTTTGAAAAATTTAAGAAAATAATTTTCTTTATCTCTTAGATGTTTGGAAAATTAAACAAAAAAAAATTTTGTTTTATTTAATTTTTAGAAGAAAAACAAACTTTTACACGCAGAAAAGAGTAAAATTATTTTTTACATTTTCTATTTTCTTTAACATTTTTTTTCTTTTTCGAATGAAATAATAAGTTTATTATTGGCCAATTTGAAGTTTTCTGACTAAAAATGGAAATCAAAATTGTTTAAATTTGGCAAATAAAAATTTGAAAGTTGTGGGCGATGTGTCATAGTTATTTTTGTATCTGAAAGCGCTGGATTTCACTGGCAATATATATAGATGTATATATATAAATGTGAAACTTGTTTATTGGGCTTTGAGATTAAAACTTTTTCTTGACCGCGTTGTCATTTTGATGCTTGTATGAAATATTGAATTCAAAAGAACTCATCGTGTTATAATAAGAACAATTTATCGCTTTCTCTTTCTCTCTCTCGATAGCTTATATAGATTTTTAACAAAAAAAAATTTGTTGCAGAAAATTTTCCAAAAAAAAATATTGAAAGAAGATTTTAGCTTTCAAAATATTGAAAGAAGATTTTAGCTTTCAAAATAATAAGAACAAAAAAACTATTAAAATCTAATTAATCCAAAGAACGTAATATTTAGAAAATATTAATTTTAATCTCATCGAATAAAAAGTTAAATTTTTTCGAAAAATAATCCATGTTATCTGTGTGGGTTTCTTTTTTTATACTTTTAAATTAGGGAATTTTAACGTTGACTCAGGTAGAAACGATTATTGTTATTTTGGTAATTATGTAGACAAAAAGAATATTAAAAAAAAAGCGTGTAGTAAAACGTTGGAAGACTGGAGATAACATACGCAGGAAATCGATACACGGTTTGCGTGTGCGCAGTGTTGAAAATTATAATCTCTGGACTTGTGAAAATTACTCGTTTATACAGAAAGGTTGTGAATTATATATAAAAAACAAAACAAAACAGAAAAAAATAATTGAATAGATCGCAATCTGTTTTAACAATAAGTGAAAATTGTCACGTTTAAAATTTAATACAAACCTTATTTTTCAAAAATTAATAGAATTTATCAATTTAATTATAAAAAAAACAAAAATGTTTTTTGAATTTCTTTCATTTATCAAAATTTAATTATTTCAAAAACTCAAAAAAAAAGAGTTTATTTTTACAAAAATAGAAAGCGTAACAAACTTTTTTTTGAATAATTATTCACTGTGGGAGAGTAAAAAAAAAGAGTAAATAAATTAAAAAGATAATTTTGGTCATTCGATGTAATATAATATAAAGTCTGAGAATCCAAAAGCAAAAGGACGGAAATTTATAATATATTGTAAGCAGGATATTCGCTTCGTCGATTGCAACCAGTCGCTGGGAAACGATAACTAAACCCAGTTCCTGTCACGGTGCCATATTTTTTTTACACAATAATCATTTCTTCACTGGTCACGTCTTTCAATTTCCAAGAATTATCTCTTATATAGTGTCAAATAGTATTAAAAAAAAAATCTACAGAAAATTAGATCAGATTTGAGTTTTTTTTCGCGAAAAGAGAAGGTCGTTTTAAATTCACGCTTTTAGCAAATTTTTTTTTTTTAATTTCACAACGATTCTATTATGTGAATTTTTGTGTAACTTTTATATAATTTTATAATTATTATAAATTTTGTAATTATTTAATTGTTTATTGTAATTGAAATTTTGTATTAATTCAGAATTAATAAATATAAATCTTCCTTAATTATAATAATTAAATAATATTAAATAGTAAAGAGTTTTAATTAAATTTATGTATTTTTTTAATTTAATGAAACTCTATCGAAATTTTCATTACTTGAATCAACTGTTAATTAAAATGATTATAATAATTAATTTTATAATGAAATTAAAATTTAAATTAATAATTTGTTGTAGCTACAATTAATTAAAATATTAAAACCAAGTGACAATTAAGATTTAGATTAAATTAAAGTGTATTAGAATCATCACTAATGGGAAGCATCATTATTTTGTTTTACTATTATCTTGAAGGATTTATTTTGCCATGGGAGGGTTTTTTCTTCCTCATAAAGAAATAAAATTTGATAAATAAATATTAAATTAAATAAATAAAAAATAAATAAACAATAAATTATATAAATGAAATTTAATAAATAAAATTTAATAAATATTAAATTAAATTAAATAATTTTTTAAGAATATAATTGAGTCCCAATTTCAACTAATGTAAAGCAATTATTAAAAAAATAATTATTTTAATTAAATTGTAGATATTGTTTAATTATTATTTTAATGATTTTTGGTAATTATTGTAAAATTGTCAGCTGTTTTTTGATATAATTTTTGTATAAAGCGAGTTATTTAAAAATTGGCTTATTCTTTATACAGAATAAGTGGAAACTGGTTGTTTTATACACTGTCGACTCTGCATTTTACGCAGATGTTTAAGTTGAAGTTATTTGCAGCTGCTCATATGTATGTTTTATCGAAAGGGAACCACTGTTGGGAGCATGAATATGGGTGGAGAGGGTGGGGAAAAGGGAAGAGGGTCAGACGAACAGCAGCTGCGTTTCTGTATAATTCCGGAAGCCTCATCTCGAAAGCTGGAGAGATAGCTCGTTTCGCTATTACCCATCATCTAGCCAATATCGACGTATCTAATTTAATATTAATACCTTCATCTAAAGATAATCATTTTTTTTTTTTTTTTTTTTTTTTTTTTTTTTTTAATCGACTTCCTTGTTTCGTTCAATTATGAGAAATTTTATATTTTTAAATCACTTTTTTTTAATAGCTATTTATTCCTCGCTTACTTGAATTTATTGTTGATATTTTTAAATATTCATATTGTATTTTTTTTTTATTTATTTATTTTTTAGCATGTTAATAATTTAGAATTTAATTATTTGAACTGCTTCTTTCAAATATATTTTTTGTAAATGTTACCTGCAACAAAAAAAAAATCACTTTCATATTATAATTTTGTTCCTTTGAATCTAATCTAAAATATACATAATTTGGAAAAAAAATCGTAACTTTTAAATTGAACAGAAAGTAGGTAAATAAACGCAAAATAAATAAAAGGAATTTTTTTTAATCAATATTAAAATTTCCATTTTTGATAATTATTTTCGTTTATTAAATTCAAGAATGACAGTGAAAGAAACACTTTTTCCTTTTACAAATTTAAAACAAAATTTTTTTCAAATTGAATTGTATAGAATTAAATTTATTTTTCAAATGCCAAAAACAATTTTTTTTTAATTTGTAAAATATTCGAAAAAAATACCCCTTTGATTTGTTGTCGTCTCTGATTTAAATATATTTGATACGATTTTTATTTCTTTATTTATAATTATTTTTTTTTTAACAAAATTTATTTTTGACTGAATGAGAATAAAATTTTGTAATGAAAAAAGGAAGTGGATTAAAATTACGATTTTGAAAAAAATGAGAAATATTAATTTTTTTTTTACCTGGTCGCAGTGAATAAATCATTTTGGAAAATTCGTCCAATTCAGTTCGATCGAAACGTAGAATTTCAGGTACATTCAAGTAAGGTTGAAGGAAGGGTGAAAGAACCATTTTTATAAAATCTCTTTCCCTGTTGACTCGATTCAAACCTCCGTCAGAAGAGTAATTTCCGGTGTCACATTTCCGGAAGCGAATTACTTTGTGTTCCTGAAATTAAATAAATAATTAAACATCAGAATGATTAAATAATTATTAAATTAAAAATAATAATAAAAATAATTTTTTAAAAAATATAAAATAATTTTCGAGAAATATTTCCTATAGTAATTAAATATTTTTTTCGACCTATTTTCTCAACTACCATAATATTTTCAATCATCGTGTGACAATTTCCATAGCTTTCGATATCCTGACGAGTATATAATTTAAATGGAAAGGGAAATAATCAAGCAAATTTCCAATTCATTCGAGTGCTTATGAACTTTACTGTTTGTGGAACAATCGATCTTATGATGAAGAAAAGACACGTCTTTCAACACATTTAAGACATGTTAATAGAAATTTTTTTTTTATTTATTCTTAGATAAAATGAAATTAAATTCAGTTGTAAAATATTAAAATCAATAAAAATTTGCTATTCATTTTCATGTAAATTGAATTGACCTCAATATTGTAACTTTCGAGCAAATATTAACAACGGTTTTTTTATTTGTAATTTAAATGAACACAATAAATATAAATTGACTTGAAAATCATTTGCAGAAAAAAAAATTTTTTTCTGTTTTTTTAAAAAAATAGTAAAATTTTTACATTTAATTTATTTTTTATTTTAATAAAAAAATAAAAAATATGTAATAACTAATTTTTAGAAATTATAATTTTTGTTATTAAACAAATATTTTGTATGTTTATATACTTTAAAAAAAAAAATTTATTATTTTGTATATTGAAAAATGTCGTATGACAAAAATTATTTTCTCCTGAGTTATATTTTTTGTACTTTCGTCTAACATGAACATTCATTTCATACAATTCACTGTTCCCGAGCACAAATAAATTTTACCACACAGGACCCACACGACCTCACTGCACTCTAAGAAATATATATATATAAATATGGATATAGGTCGAAAATAAATATTCTTATAAAAATAAATATACACGATACGATTTTATATAACAAATTATTTTTATATAAAAAAAATTCTTAAACATTATATTTATTGTTTAAAAATAGAAAATTCATTAAGCGAAATATATAAGATAGAATAATATTCTAAATGCTAAAAATATATTTTTAGAATAAATTGTTATTTTAAAATATGTAAAAATATACTATGTATTTTAAGAATAACATTTTCTATCAAGAAAAAAAAAATTAGACAAACAATCGAAACAAAAGTTTTTATAATTATATTTTTATATAAATATTTTTTCTTATATTTTTTTATATAATTTTATTGCTTTTGTGTATGCCTGCAAAATTAATAGAATAATATATAACGAATTCAATAATAATAATTGGATTACATATAACGAAATCGATCGAATTTATTAATATTCTCTATAAATTGATATATGCGCAGTTTTCAAGAATCTATATTAAGAAAATTTTACAAAATACAATGTTCACTTCTACATTAATTATTAATAATAATAAAAGTAATAATGATAATAATAAGGATAAAAATAATTATATAATAAAAACAGTAATAATAATTATAATAATAATAATGATGATGATAATAATAATAATAATAGAAAAATTATTAATGAAAATAGAAAAAATAATAATGAAAATAATAACAATGATGAAAATAATAATAATAAAAATAAAAAAATAATAATAATAATAGAAAAATTATTAATGAAACTAGAAAAAATAATAATGACAATAATAACAATGATGATAATAATAATAATAATAATAATTAAAATAAAGATATTGAATAATAAATAACATGGAAAAAAGTAAAAACGTTAATTTAAAATTTCTCCATTTTTAAAAAAATATGAGAAAGAAAAGTGAATTTATTTTCTTTTTACTTAAAAATTAAAATAGAACCATTAGTCATTGTTTTTCTAGTATTTAATTTTTAAAAATTCCATTATCATCTTAAATTACAATTCTATTCTTGCGAGAAAAGAACAGATGGACAAATATGTATATATTAAAGAAGCCAAGGATACTCAAGGAGCAATTTTTTTTTTTTTTTTTTTTCCCTACAAGAATATATAAAAAGAGGGTTTGTGGTGTGTGTAAAAAAAAGAAATGTAAAATAAAAATAATGTCGCGAATCCATGTAAAAGAATGACTTCCGGAGGTGTTCTTCCGGTAAACGGTAAACGACAAATCGATAGGTAAATGTATATATATGCAAAAAGGGGGTAAAAAGTTCCTTTTGTTAAGTGACGTGGCGGCGGGTTGTTTTGTGCGTCATTCACGCACACCCTCCTTTAAAGACTCACACAAATACATATACAATTATTCTAATATTTCAAACAAACATTTTTAATCAAGAGAGAAATTATTATAAAGAAAAAAAAACATTTTTTTCATTTTTAATTGCCCTTACATTGTTTTTAAAAGTTAAATTATTTAAATTAATTTTGCATTTATTTATTTTATAATTATAATTTTATTATTAATAAATAATTATAAATTAATTAATTAATAATATAATTAAACCGCCGGCGATCAAAAGGGGTAAGGCGAGGTTTTCATATTGGCCCCTGGAATAGCTAGAATCTCGCTAAACGCGGGGCCAACGAATGACACGCGAAAGCCCTTTTAGTCGCCAGCGGTTCAATTATTATTAATTAATTAATTTTATAATTAATTTACATGTTCTTATGTGGTATTATTTGCCAATTTTTTTTCCAGACGAAAAAAATTGAAGAGCATAATTAAAAAAGTATGATTAATTAGATTTTTTTTTTGTTTGAACGTTTCTGTATATTGAATTAAATTATTCAAATTAGAAAGAATACTTTTTCTTTGTTTCTTCTTTCTCTAAACTTGCAATCTTTATTATTATATGCAAAAAAAAAGAAAAAAAAAAACTAAGGAATATTTTGCGCAAAGCTGCGACTTTTTTTATCTTTCAGTTTCTGCTATACGAGAGCAATTGGATGAATATTTAAATAAAGAAGAAATGACTGGCTTATTTCACACTTGGCGATTCTGACTCAGAATCTTTTATCTTTTTTTTTTCCAAGGGACTTAAAGCTTCTTGAGAAATTATAAGAATAATTTTCTGATACACTTATTCCATTATCTTAATTGCCCACAAGTTAAATTATAATTTAACTTTTTCTTTTCAATTTTTAAATGGTGACAGTTTATAATAATGAAAAATTCAAATCCAATTAATTACACAATTGATTATGTATATAATTAAAAAATTATAAATTATTTGAAAAAAAAAATTAAAATTATTTTAATTAAAAAGAAAAATTAAACGTTCCACGAGAGAAGGGACCTTACGTAAAAAAAATTTTTAGGTTATGTTAAATAAATTTAACTAATGTTATTGTTAACTAATGTTATTTATAGCTAATGTTATTTGTAACTAATGTTATTTTGTAACTAATTTTATTGTTAACTAATGTTATTTGTAACTAATTTTACTGTTAACAAATGTTATTGTTAACTAATGTTATTTGTAACTAATGTTATTTGTAGCTAATGTTATTTTGTAACTAATTTTATTGTTAACTAATGTTATTTGTAACTAATTTTACTGTTAACAAATGTTATTGTTAACTAATGTTATTTGTAACTAATGTTATTGTTAACTAATGTTATTTGTAACTAATGTTATTTGTAGCTAATGTTATTTGTAACTAATGTTATTTTGTAACTAATTTTATTGTTAACTAATGTTATTTGTAACTAATGTCATTTGTAACTAATTTTACTGTTAACAAATGTTATTGTTAACTAATGTTATTTGTAACTTATGTTATTTGTAGCTAATGTTATTTGTAACTAATGTTATTTTGTAACTAATTTTATTGTTAACTAATGTTATTTGTAACTAATGTCATTTGTAACTAATTTTACTGTTAACAAATGTTATTGTTAACTAATGTTATTTGTAACTAATGTTATTTGTAGCTAATGTTATTTGTAACTAATGTTATTGTTAACTAATGTTATTATTAACTAATGTCATTCTTAACTAATGTTATTGTTAACTAATGTTATTTGTAACTAATGTTATTTTTAACTAATTAGCAAAAATATTACTAATCAGTGAATAACTTTTCGAATTATTTATCAAAAATTATTATTAAAATAATTAATAATAATTATTATTAAATAATAATATTAAAATAATTATTATTATTTATAAAAATATTCTTCATCGACCTCTTTATAATAATAATAATAATAATAATAATAATAAAAAAAAATGTTATATCACTTCAAATGATTAATTTTAATGAAGATATAGCAAAAAAGGAAAGTTTTTTTTTCTCTCATACAAATACTTATTATTCATTCACATATCGTATTCATTATTCCAAAAAAAAAAAAAAATATTCGTCACATCGATCAGTTCTCCTCCTGCTTTTTTTTTCACCACCCACTATCGCGATTTCCCCTTCTTTGTATATATATATATAACACAGGTCAACGACCAATAGTTAATGGTCTTGCAACCCCCTCCCCCCTCCTTTTCTCTCATTACGAGTTTTTTTTTTTTTTTTTTATTTTTATTTTTCTCTTTCTTACTGTACATCTCTTTCACTCGCACTGTTTTTGTTATTTTTCTTTATTCCCTCTTCTCTCCTCTCTTTTTCTTTTGTCGGGCTGGTAATATGCGCGAATTTTCTCTCTCTCTTGGTTGTAATGTTGATGCGATATTCTCCATCGCTCACAGTTACGAGAGAGAGAGCCAATGGCGTTACTTGGTGCGCAGTCTGCACTTTTAGTGACGTAACATTTCGCCCCCACAGCTCGCCAACCAGAAAACAACAAAAGCCTGTATGTTATCTATATATGTGTTTGTTTGTGTGTGTGTGTCTCGATTCACGTTGATTCGCGGACCGCAAAAACCGATCCCGATTTACTGGCGGGGAGGCAGAACCATTCAAGATAATTTCATATATGTATATAACGCACAGAATGCAATTGATAAAAAGAGAATAAAAAAGAATTTTTTTTTTTTTTTGCATTATTCAAATGAACTCAATTTGCA